TTTGTCCATTGAGGCTTAAGGCGCAGTATCAGGTTTGCGCCTTCAACGCTCCCTTACTATCGCTGAGCGAGCTACTCCAAAATGACCAATCCGTGGGAAACCATTGATTGATTTCGCGTGAGCAGATCCGTGGCTACTACCATCCCACACCCCAAGATGGGAAAGCCGGCGCCAACCACGCGGCAGACCTTACCGACTTGGTCCTGGCCTTGGCTCTTGGGCCTCTCCGTGCCTGTTGCCGATACCACCTCCGCCTGCCATCGTCTCTTATTCCGGTGCCTCATCCTTGTCCAGAGCTAACCACCAAAGGCCACCATCTCATCCGTCACTAGAAAAGACCGGACGAATACCTCCCTCCCCCCTTCCTCCACCATTGTAACTCCTGCTATCTCGATGAGCCCCCCCAACGTCCGAGGCGCGCGGGGGGGGGGGGGGTTCCCCCAACCCAACCAATCTTGCATTTCAAGGCGCGTCGCCTTCAAAAAGAAGATATATCTGCCGACGTCTAAACCATTCACAGACAAACGCTTAACTGGCTTCAGCGGTTTCCGGAGAATAAGCCACCCATACACTTTTTTTTTTTTCTCTCTTTCACCTGTACCCTGTTAAATGGCCGACGAGAGGCTGTGCCGCACAGCGATGTTCCCCGTTACCATGTACTACTACTGACCCCGGGACTTCGAGGGGAGCTAAAAAGTCTACTACCGTACACATAGTACGTAGTGGTGCTCCACGCTACACTTCCGGGGAGGCCAACTGATACTCAGCCGGGCATGTTCCGACTGTTCGAGATGCCGTCCGGGTTCTAGAGTTTTGGTCGTCACCATGCCCATCCGTACACACGATTGATGACATGCTCGGCTCAGCACGCCATATTAGGTTCCGGGTCGGTCTCTAGCCCAGCTCAGAGAGTCTCAACTGACCACCGTGGCCATGGCTACCGAACAATGGGCGTCAGAAAAGCATGCGGAAAGACACCACATGACGGGGAGAGTGTGTGTTGGTGTTCGTATTGCCAGCCTCGCTCGCTCGCCCTCGCATCTACTTTGTAGTCACCGGTAAAAAAGAAGTCCAATCCAGTATGGAGGAACGCGCAACGTCGGCACTAAGCAGAGGCCCTCATGCCGCAGGAAGACATGCGTGATGTGATGCTGGTGCGGATCCAGTTTGTGTCCCTACGGCGCCTGCAGGAGGTAACTCCGTGCTGGATGACTGCAAACCTACCACTAGCATACGGATATAACGACTGCAGTCTTTTGGTACCCCAAGATACAGATACGGATGCAGCTTGGCTGCGTTATTCCGGATGCCCCAGTCGGCTGTCACCGCATGCATGCCGAATCGCTCCCGCAAAAGAAGAAAATACAGAATGCTAAGCAGGCAGGCAGACAGAAAGAAAAAAAAAAAAAAAAAAAAAAAAAACTCAATTCGCTGCTATGAGGAGCGGAGCCAAGGAATGCTGGTGACGAGAGCAGAGACGGGGGCGACCAAGCAAAGCATTACCCGCCGTTTCGATAGCTCCGCGAGAGAAAACAAGATTTGAACCTCCCAAAGGGCCGATAGGCCGACGACTCCCACGGGGTCCCATGGCTCGCTGCCATAGTACTCCGTAGTCATGCAGGGAACAAGGTCACAGTGAAACTTATCGTCCATTGCCTTTTTTTTTTTTTTTTTTTTTTTTGCCTGTCTGTCAGTCGCTATCTTCTAGATATCAATATCCTGGTCTTCCATAGCATTGCATCCTCATCCCTGACTCTATTCCGCCATCTGCTTGCTCTCTGCGCTGGACGATTGCATCTGCAACACCGACGATCCAGCTCGTACAACACACACACACACAAGCAAGTTTCAATATGTAAAACTCCCGGAGCCCAACGTTGCCGGTCACTGGTACAGTCTTGGCCCCCTTCCGCCAAGCGAGACGCCCATTCGGACGACGATCGACATGGAGGCTCTTGTTCGTTGAGACACTAGGGACCGCTCGCGATTGGCGAACAGAGTTAGTAAAGAGTAGAGTGCGTGTATGTGAGAGTGTGTGTGGTTCCCGAAGGAGGGTCGCCGCGAGCTACGAGAGGACCGGGGTGGTGGCACGCATGCATGTGTATACGAAGAAGAGAAAGAGAGAGAGATATGGCTGAAGAGGGATACGAGGCCGGCGAGTGACTGGCCGATCACATGTAGACCACCCAAGCAGATGTTTCCTCCTTATTTAGGATCCGCGGCCGGCCGGGATGCTCTACTTTACCACGGCGGGAAACTAACTTTTGGGCGGGCGAATGTGAGGGTTCATCTCTTGGATCTCAAATCATTCCTTTGAAAGATTGGCCTCAGACACACCCGCTCAAATGAAGTAAAGTGGCTGGCGATGAGAGGGGGCAACACAAATTTTTGCCCATTCGTTAGTAGTTCCTCGTTAAAAATGGAACCTCTACCTTTTCTCCCTCGCCGGTTCGTGCGCGTACATACATAACTACTACAGTACGGTACTAGTAGACTAGTCGATGCGTATGTACACTTTTTTTTTTTACGCTAGAAAGTCACCCACACAGCCCGCATCGCGGAGGCTAGTGATGCACGCGTAACACGGGCCCAGATACGCGATGAGCTGATTTCTGGAGCCCTTATCTTTTTTTTTTTCTCCCTCTCTTTTGCTTGTGGAGGGGCCGCATGCTGACGTCTACGACTTACCTGGACCGTGGATCTTTTTGGGGGGGGGGGGGGGGGGGGGGGGGGGCACCCCGTTCAGCACGGCATGTCCGTGGCGGCTTGAAGACGGTAATGTGACCGGTGGTCTGGCGGGGGCCTCATTCTCGGTGAGGTTCGGTGAAGTATTTTACCTAGGTGTAGTTTACGAAGTTGATTATTGCTCTTTAACCATGCCAATTGGTTCTGTTTCCTTCAAACACGGAACAGAACTAGTCATTGTTAAGATAATAACTTAAGAAGGATACATCCCAGGCTCCTGGTGCAAACAGACGACGTAACCGCTGAATATTCCATGTACTTGGCTCATGTCGTTGGTCCCCGGCATACCATCCTATGTAGTAGCAATCCCGGTAGTAGCAACTCTAACCCAGCTGAATCGACCAAGATGTCTACGCACACCATTCACCTTTGTGTCCAGGAGCATTAAGTATTGCCAGACTGCGTTGGCATCTCCGACCCCGCTTCACCCCCGAACCTTCACGCCGCCTCGTCTTCCACCGCTCGGCGGCCAGAATAATTGGCATGATATGCAACGAGAAACCCAACCCCCTCGGGCCATTTGTGCGTTTTTTTTTTTTTGGCTACAAAGTTGAGGGGTACATGAAATGCCGCGAGGGTTACCCCGCCACCATACCCTTCTCAAACAGCTCCCCTCCCCCAGAAAGCCTGCCTTGTTGTCCTGTGCCACCGGGACGCTTCTTCAGATGACCTTTACGGATTGACTTGCAGCGGAGAAGCCTTCACGATCTTCTCGACTGGGGGGGTGTGCGTGAACCCACCCTGCAGGCTATATACCATAGTATATGTATATTTGCCGCTGGTGGGGAGCAGTGGGGAATCAACATGGACGGGTTGGGACATGACAGGCTTCAGTCAGCGAGGGAATGCGCGGGACGCGATTGTTTTGGTTTCTGGGATGGGATAGATGGGTGGGAAAGCCAATGACGGCTCACGTTGAATGTTATTTCTACATACAAGTGATGACGCCTCGAAGAGCGTCAAAGTATTTTACCTCCGCAGTCTGGCATTCTCCGGGTCCAGATGAGTTGCCACTATGGCTGATATATCGGCCGAGAGATCTGAAGATGCAGACGCGGATGTATGACCATCTTTCGCAACGACGCACGACCTATCCGTATGACAACCCAGTCAGCCAGCCACCTGCCTTGCTCAAAACGTGGGGGTAGGTATCCTCGCCGAAAGGTGCTCCAACAGCCGGTTTCCATGGGCCCCTTCTTTTGGGCGTGATTGCACACAGACACACCGCATATCTGTTGTTAACCAGGACGCGCCGCCTTCTTCTCTATCCGGCCAGAGGTTTACCCCGGCATGGAACGTGGCGGTCAAAAGGGCTGATGCTCAGAGTTCCCTACGCAGATCATTGATTGATTGAGAAATCGCGATCTCGAGCGTATCCCGAACAAAAACCGCCAGGCCGGTATATTGTTTCGTTGGCTACGGAGAAACGGTAGAGACAAAATCGGCAACGCCCTATTTTGGTCGAACCACGCGGGGTATTGCCCTGTTCATAGTGGTTCCCCCCCCCCCCCCCCCCCGCAGGACCGGGCGCTACCTAAACATTTCATTTAGGCTTGCGTTTTCTTCCCTTTTTAGTTTCCCACCATTGTAATCTTGGTAACCATACACCAACATGTCTTGGTTTTGCCAAACATCACAGTCCGCGTAGTTCGCAGACTCTCGCTTTGGTGAGAGACAGCAAGCCTGCTCCGTCACTTTATCATCACCGTTCCACAGCGTCCCAGATTGATGATGCAAGGACCCAAACTCAGGGGCGAAAAAAAAAAGGGGACGCTATGAACCTCCAGCGTCCTGAACTGCCACCGGCCAGGCGCAGCACAGCTTTTAATTCCGGATCAACGTCGGGGCGATGCTTCAACCGTCAATGCCCACGTGGGCAAAGAGACCGTGGCATCTCATCGTGACAAGCCAATCTGACATCAACATTTGCCCCTGAGAATTGCTGTTTTCTGAATGATCGACTGCGAGTGCGGACGTGTGCAATTTATTTAGGTTTTTTGGACGCCTTGTAGAAGAAGGCCTGTGTTTGGTTCTTTTTTTTCTTCCCCCGTCGTTGTTTGTACACGGAGCGAGCGAGACCCCCGTGCCGGAGACACAACGCGACGTTCCTCCGCCGTCACACCGGGAGAGAGGCTCTCTCATTCCCCGAGCCGCTCATCGCGGATCTACCGGATCCTCCGGCCGTCCTCACTTCACTCAGTGAGCGCCTGCTCACTCATCCACTCACTCACTTACTCACCATCACATCGCCCAACATGCGTTTCCATTGCATGCCCCTTCTCTACGTCATTTCCTTCTTCATCCTCATCTCGGCCCTCTTCTCAGTCCTCCTGTCGCTGGCGCCCTGCTTCGTCAAGTCCAAGAACCACTGCTACCGCGGCTATGAGTCCCACTTCTCCTTCGACGTCGACAAGGCCGACCACGCCGAGTGGATGAAGGCCATCCCGGATGATGCCAACCTCACCAGCCTGTCCATCCCCGGGACCCACGACACCATGACCTACGACCTCAGCAACCAGGTCTTCCAGTGTCAGAACCACAATCTCTCGGCGCAGCTGCGCGCCGGCATGCGCTACCTCGACATCCGCGGCCGTCTCGTCAACGACTCCATCCAGATCTACCATGCGTCAATGTACACGGGCCACTCGTACACCAGCGTCCTGCTGACGCTGTTCGAGTTCCTCGACTCGCACCCCAGCGAGACCGTCGTCATGCGGCTCAAGGAAGAAGGCCGGCCCCTCGGCAACAACAGCATGACCTTTGAGGACGCCTTCAACCACTATCTCCACAACGACACCCTCACGTCCCCCGGCGCGCAGGCGCACTTCCACAAGCACGACAAGCTGGCCCCTTACCCCACGCTCGGCGCCCTCCGGAACAAGGTCTTCCTCCTGCAGAACTTCCCCATCAGGCAGCCCAAGAACCCCTACGGCGTCATCTGGGAGTCCGCCGACATGGTGCTCGAGGACCTCTGGATCATCCCGAGCATGGAGCACCTGTACATGAAGTGGGAGGCCATCGAGAACGCCCTCCGCCGCGCCGCCACGGCGAAACCCCACTCGAACCGGGTCTTGTACCTGGCGCACCTGAGCGCGTCGGTCGGAGTCCTGCCCATCGAGGCCGCGGCGGGCAACCTCAATCACACGGTGGCCGGGATGAACGACCGCACGGGCGACTGGCTCGCCGAGACGGCGGGCGGAGCCGACGCCGGCAAGACGGGCATCGTCATCATCGACTTCCCCGGCCGCGCCTTGGTAGACGAGGTGCTAGCGCGGAATACGGCGCTAACGGACCGTAGCGTCGAATTGTGAGTCGCGGCAAGCTGAAAAAGATACACACACGTAAGAAAAGAAGAAGAAAAACAAAAAAACAATAATACAAACCACATTGTTCATCATTCATCGTCATTCCCATCCCTTACCTCCACCACACAGTGTCACGATTCATTCCCTCGCGTCTACTAGTACTACTGCATACGCCCACCCCCTTGCGCTAAGGCAGGCATACATGGTTCTACTAGTATTTTGTTTGATCCACTATATCATGTTTTGGTTGATGTATACTCCATCGCATAATGGGACGATGCCGATGACCCGGCACGGAAGACCGGAAGACCGGAAGACCGGAAGGCGGAGCCACCTAACTCATTTTATTAATCTTTTTTCTTTTTTTTTTTTTTTTTTTTTTTCCTTTTTTTTTTTACCGTGGTATTTTATAAACACTCTTTTTATCATACTTTTCTCAACATGCGCGGCCCCATCCATCCTGCGGGTCCACTTTTTCCTGTCCTCATTGAGGCCGAATCCGAACGGCGCAGTTTTTCCCCCGAGATGAGGATCTTCGGCCGGTTGGGGCACCCTTAGCGTCGGATACCCGCCGATCCGCGCGCGCCATGTCCGCAACGGCCACCGATTGTACCTGACTTGTCCTGTTTCTGTTCTTCGTCTTCGTCTTCGTGGCTTCGCTGTCATCCGTTCCGGGGGCTCCCCTAATTCCTTACCGCGAAAAAAGCTATCCATCATAGTCACGCGACTAGACGCAGCTAAGATGTAGTTTCTTATGATAATCCTCGAGTCGGCCCGTTTGAGGCGGTCTCGCTCGTTGGCGGATCATCAGGTATCTCGATACGTGATTAGACGCAAGCGACCTAATTTGCCCGCTTTCCGCAGGGCCATTACCCGACGGCGAGCCATACACTAGTTTTTTTGGCGAGACGGGTAAAAAATGTAAGCAAGCGACATTCTGGCAGTCTTTCTTCATACTGCTACACCCCCCCCCCCCCCCCCCCCCCCCCCCCCCCCACCACCATCGCCCGCACGTCCATCGACAAACTCCCCCCCCCCACCCTCTACCGCGCAGCATCGGCGCCAACTACGCAAGTGGCTGTTTCACACTTTTCCCCCTCGCCAGCTCGATTTCCAACTCGTCAAGAAGGACAAAGTACAGGACGCGCGTATTATTCTGCAGCATCAATCGATCCTTGGCTATGTTTATTCGCCACTCGGCAGAGGGGGGATCTTCAGGAACGCGCGCCGCACATCAGGGCACATCGAAATAACTGGGACACCCGAGGGATCTTCATTTGTCCGGTTTTGTTTCTTGGCGAGAACATCAGAAGAAGCTCGCGCGAGTAATGGGTGATGGGGTTGCTGGGCTTCCCGGGTCGCCAGGGCTGGAGCTGCGGATAATGGCAATTGAGTTTTTTTTTTCGTTCGCTTTGGGTGGTATTCTGGGCCGATCAACGTTTTGGGACACGAGGCTCCTTTATGGGAGCTGCTTTGGGATGCCCGCGGGGTTTTGAGGTGATTGTTTTTTGATTTGTACGACTCAGGTGTTATGGCTCGACATGGGATCCAGGGGGTGACTGTGTAATAATGGACGGGGGTGGTTTAATGCGACGCGTCGATATAGAGAACCGCGACCGGCGTTGACGCCGGTGCGTTACATGACAGAGAGCCCAATATCTCCGGATCTCCAGGTTTTGTACACATAGAGTGGGCGGTTGCTTGTCTGTTTGGACTTGCGGGCGTTGTTTGTTGGGACGGGAGTCCTGTTAATTGACTGACCTTCGTTGAGACTCAGTGTTCAGGTGGGATTTGTGTTACGTGTGGTTCTCGTTGTAATGTTGGTTGGCAGGATGTAGTAATTAATGTAGTAGTAAACTTGATAGGATCGAGATGTTGTATTTCCTTCCTATGCAAGTTACGGGCTGCGCTGGACGTAATTGCCGGCGTAGGTATGATTTGCCGTAGTTTCTGCCAAATAGGAGACTTGTATCTGAATACCTAGGTGTTTTGATACTGTGACAAGAAGCGTAAGTTGTTGTCCTTGACTCCTTAGCAGCCTTTTGAACCTTCGCCCTTACGAGGCTTGTCCTGAGTCTTCAAAAAGCCTACTGTCCCGTCATCCACTATCTCTTGATTGCTTCTCGAAGCGAATTGAGGGTTGATGATAGTCTAACAGAGGAATCTAAGCAGCTGCGGCTCGGCGAAATTAGGATCTGTAGGCATACATTCGAGTCCTTGCAATGGCAAGAGCTGTGCAGCTTTGCCGAGATCATTAGGTATACATTTCACTGTATAACTTGAAGCCATCCGCGATGGGTTTGAAACTACTTCACCATGTTGACTACTACACACTAGCCGCATTATTCCCTTTGGCCTTCACATCTCTGATTGTGTTGAAATAAGTTTCTGAAGTTGGTTCTGCCAACCGCGGCCGTGGCAATGTTGCTTGAAAGGACATTCTTCTATTTCACCGCTGATGACGGCCTGGTGTTCGGGGATGCGGCTACGTGGTAGACTTACGAACTTTCTGGACCAACTTAGAATTCTTCATTACTGCAAGAAGTTATGAAGGGCTCAGAGTTCCTGAGTTTACATGCAGTGCTATGTTTCTGACCGGCTTCCACTCTACGTACTGTGTCACTATAGTTTGATTTGCAATGACAGTTTCTCATGGGTTCAACCACCAAGTGCTTCTCACCAAAACGCAGCTTGTGGAGCAGAATCGCTGTGAGCGTCATTTTCAGTGTCCAGAGTTTTCAAAGATACCTATATAATAGCAAAGGGAGTCATATATCTACCTGATGAAAGAAACAGCGTCGATGAGGCTTAGGTATCCCAGTCTAATGACTCCAAATGTTAAACTCGAACCCGTCTTCGTATAAAAAGCTCATTGACTCTCCAACCTCCATAATCTTAAACACCAGGCGTTCGCAGTCATCATTGGTCCGGCTGCTTCTTCAGTTCTTACACTCATCTTTGGGCCAGAACGAGATTTTGTGTCCTGCTTTTAGTAAATGGAAACGGTGGCTTTTTCGTATTCCCGCTTTGAGAAGACAAACTGTGATACACGGCTCAACCGTTTAAAATGTCTCCTTGTTAATTCATTTCTCCCTTCTCTCTTCTCCCGTTTGTCCTTAGGTAGTCAAAAGCTGAGACAACTCGACATCAACGGATTAGCGTCCACACGCAGGCTTCTATGTGGCCGATCGAACGGAATCGTTGGAAGGCAAATCCCAAGGTGAAGAAGACGTCATTTGCCAGAGAATGTACTTACTTTGCATCTAGGTACTTTCTGCAGATAAAAAAATTGTGTTTCTATGTGATTCGGCAAGGCCACCAGCACTAGTGAGATATCAGGTTATTGCAAGAGGCGCAGTGAGGCATCCCTCGCTAGGTGTGTTACACGGCTAGATGATTGGCGCTACGAAGTTAATCGCATCGCAAGGCAACTTAGCTATTTTCTTACACTTGGCGCCTTTCAGGATTCTGAGTAAGCCGAATCGCCGCACAGGAAGAAGTGCGGCTGAATATTACGGAGACTGGCAATGGCATAGATAAAAAATGCCAAGTGTCCCTGAAAGATCCCCTCCACGTAAATAGCATTGCTTCTCCATTCTGTTGACGCTCCAGATTTTAGGCCTGAGAAGAAGAAAACGCAGCATCTTGAGTAAACTCGACCTCTTTTCTTTTTTCCTTACGGAATCAATCATCGTTTTTTGTTCTTATTTCTTTTTTTGCCTTTCGTATCATTTATCTTCATTAGCTAGAAGACGAAACACCATCTTTACGTTTACACCCCAGATATGGACCTTGAGCCAGCCCCTGTTCTAAAGAATCTACTTGACGTTCCAGGGTTGCAGGTTTGCGATGCATGTTCAAAGGTGCCTTGGAAAAAGTTCTATGACCCCGACAGCTTTGGGGGATATAGCCCAATGGGACAAGGACCAGTCAAATTAGGGCCTTTGGCATCCGTCCTGAGCAGATCCCAGTCCTGCATCTCATGCAAATTGGCTATCAACGCCCTTCGCTTTCGCCACGAGGACAAAGTCAGCAATCCGATGTGTGAATCTTGCGTCGTCACATACATCCTACAGTGGCCCGGTAATGATATAGTCGAATTTGGGAAGCATGTTATGCGTGGAGGGTACAGCAGGAAGGATCTGCCTAGTCTCATTGTTCAGCTCACGTCGTTGAATGGGGCGTCTGCCGAGGAGGATATTTACAAGGTCCTGCTTGCGTGTGGAGATGGGCTGTATAATGCAAGAGTTCGGCCTCTTGTCGCTGATGTGGACTTATTCAAGCGTTGGATGGCAGAATGTGACCGTGATTGTACCAAAGACACGAGCCACAAGGCAGGTTGCACAAACCTGCCGGTCGCCGAAAGATCAAACCTCAGGGACTTCAAGCTGAGACTGATCGACGTCACTCGAGGTTGTATCTTTGAGGCCCCAAGGGATCAGGCCATGCCTCGCTATGTAGCGTTGAGCTACGTGTGGGGAACGTGTCCGGTGTTGAGGCTGTTGAAAAGCAACGTTGAGTCGTTGGGAAAAGACGGGGCATTGTGGAAAGAGAAGCTCCCAAAAACCATCACTGACGCATTGGATCTTGTCAACAGACTTGAAGAACACTATCTATGGGTGGATGCTCTTTGCATCACCCAGGACGACCCTGAAGAAATGCAAAGCAGCATCCCTTGCATGAATACTATCTACCAAACTGCGAGCCTTACTGTCATTGCAGCCGCTGGCAACAGTGCGGATGCCGGACTGCCGGGACTACGGCCAGGTACAAGATGGCACGCCCCAAAAAATTTCGAAGTCGGCCCGCTGCGGTATATCACATCTTCCACTTCCACGCGGGATCAGTTTGAATTTCTCCAAGGAAGCTACTGGTCCACGCGAGGATGGACGTTTCAAGAAGGACACCTGTCTAGAAGAAGGCTCGTGTTCACCAATGAGCAGGTATTCTGGAGCTGCTCCAAGTTCAGCAGGTGCGAGGAAGTTCGTCTCGAGGACACCAACCGCTTCTACCCATTTAGCACTAGCGAAGCGTCAGAAATGGTTCCAGGGAACCTAGATGTCGACGATCGTCCCGCAGTATGGCAAGACAAGTGCCTGAAGTATTACATCGACGGATACTCATACAAATCACTGTCCCACGACGATACTGACAGACTCAACGCTTTCAAGGGCATGATTTCATATGTAGCTGGAGCGACAAAGGATCGGTTCTTTGGAGGTCTTCCATGCTCGTACTTTGGGGAAAAATTGATCTGGGAAGTATTCCCGGAACAATTTTTTGAAAAAGACTGGGATCATACCGTAACCAAGTCGCTACCTACGCTTCAACGTCGTCACAAGTATCCAAGCTGGTCCTGGCTTGATTGGAAGGGACATGTGTACTTCTTCTACGAAAAAGAATCGTATGAGCCAAGGCAAATCGGTTTTTACCGACTAGAGAATAGCGAGTTAATCCACATCAATAGTGAAGGAAGCCGGAATAGGAGAAGAAACTACGAGTACACCAACAACGGCAGTGGCTACCGTGCTAAAATACCATTGGATGAGGCGCCACAAGAGGTTCGACCGACCGTGGAATCCGCCTCCCATTTCGCAGACTATGATGGTTTCAAAAGCCTCCAGAGAGATCCGCGCATTTTCTTCTATACTCAGTCGGCTATACTGAATTTCAAGCCGCGCGATTGCACATCTAAGAAGATCATGACCTGGGAGGACCTCCGCGATGCGAGGACTACAACCACAGTTGAGGGTGTCGGGATTGTGTTTTCAAGCAGTAGCTTCCAGCACTGGGGTTATGACGGCCCACGCGAGTTTATTGTGATTAACCAAACACATCTGTTGCAAGAGACGGATCCTGATAATGGCCTTATCTCAAACGACCGCTTGACCCTTATGGAAATTAGCTGGAAGGATAGCACTGCTTACAGAGAGACTTTGGCCACAGTGAATGAAGCCGATTGGAGGAAGAAAGTTCCAAATGTTCAGAGAAAAAGGATTTCGTTGGGCTAAGGGTTAGGCCGGAGCTATGTTGTACTTTTTGCGCGTTTGATACCCCGACTGTCACTTGTACAAATTTTGCTTTGCCAAGTGAGCGCCCTTTACTCCTATTGGTGATCAATGGTAATAGTAAGGCGGCTTAGCCTTGTTCAGGCTCGAGCTTGGTTTGGTTTAGCTCTGAAAGGTAAACAGAACAGAAGGCAGAGGGTTAGCAAGATATCATGATCGGTATGCATATTTTTGGGAATTTACCAATCACTTTTTGAGATGAGATGCGTGCTACGCATGTTTATTATTGCTCTGATGATTGGCAGATTGCAGTTACTATTGCAGCGTTGATGGAACTAAAGTACAACAATGTGAATAGGTAACAGTCCTGGTATTACTCAGGTGCCCAGTTAGGTGAATAAATCTTAAAATAAGACCACAACTTGTAAAAGAGCCCATTGAATCATATTTCTATTCAACTTCAAAAAGACAAAAAAAACATACAACACCGGGCATTCGCCGGTCGTCACCGACCCGACTACTACTCCAGCCCTCATTGGCTTATCTATGGGAGAGCGGACGGGATCCCGAGTTTTCCAATGGGTATGGTCGTATGTGACAATCACGGCGCGTAGTATTGCTATGAAGCTACCGTAGGGGGTTGAGGTTGGGTTCTGACATGTGGGACCAAACCACGTCGATGGTATTCTTCTTCAACCCTACTCTTGCAACTAACGCTAAAGGATATTGGGCTCTTGCTCTCTGTTCTGGGTCTTTGAAAAATTACAAAGAGCTCTCATTCGAGGATATGGAGCGCCAGACGTGCATCTCAGGCATTGCAAGATCATCGAGGAATTATGCATCCACATATCTGTCTGTACTGCCAGAGCCTATCTGGATTGAACTAAGGAACGTTAAATGCCGATGAAAAGAGACTTGCAACGTTTCTTGCCATTTTCGTCTCTGATAAACTTGTTATGAGCTTCCCTGCTATTCACTACGGTGATATCACAAAGGAGGAAGACTGGGTTGCTCAAAGTCGCTATTCAAAGCATGGAGGCAATCTGCAGGAGACGGAAGCACGCCTTTTAAACAAACGTCTCAACTTTAATCGCATACTATGATTTAATATTGATCTCCCAGACTCCTGATTACTTGTTATGGTATTACACCAATTCAGTCTGGGTTGTTCAATTTGCTTACTGCCTACAGACATGGTTGTGTGATTGGCTGCGTCTCCAAACGCCAAGGAAAATGGAACAATCAGGCTGCGCCTTGCGGTGGTGTCGTGTCTTTTTCCATTTTCTTCCGAATGTACAACCTATAATTTCATGTTATGAGCCTGGCCAGCACAATCGGCCAACACATCTACATAAGCTACTGTAACCTGGAGATTTATTCATTTTGATATTCTGTTCAAAATACCGGCAACCACAGGGAGAGTATTGTTGGCTCAAGCAAACCAAAAGGCCCCGGCCTTAATGCAGCCTCTGATGGCCTACCAGTCGCCCGAGAATCCAGCAAACCACTCATACAAGCGGATTGAATCTCAGTCGTTGCCAAAGTCGTTGAGTGAAGAGGAAAGAGTGATCGTTCAGAACGGCGAGCCTCAGCCAAATCTCTCATTCGATGGAAAGAGCACAACTACCGGCCTCGAGTACAACCGCCTCCCTGATTCTAGTAGCTACATACGACTTCTGAAGTTTAAAGAAGCAGGAGATTCTTCTCCTAGTATTGTTAGTACTAGCTGCTTCCTCCAAATCTTCGCCTTATCCAAAGCGCCTCCGTACATAGCGATCTCCTACACATGGGGCCCTTCGACCCCGTTGAAAAACATTGAAGTCGATGGCTATCAAGTGCCTGTCCGAGCAAACTGCGAGGCTGTACTGCAACAATGTTATCAATACGACTCTACGGCATTCTACTGGATCGATGCGATATGCATAGACCAAGAGAACTTGGAGGAGAAGGGACCACAAGTCTCCATGATGGGAAGGCTTTATGGCGGAGCTGATCACGTCATGGCGTGTACTGGGGATCATGAAGATGACAGTGAGCTTCTATATGCGACATTGGAAAAAAACGCTGAACTTTTTTGGGAATTTGGGGGTTTCAGACGTTCACATTTTGTGGATGAAGCGTCTCCTCAAACGTTCAATCTATGGGCGATCCGGAAAGGGATGAGGTTCCTTGTACGGCTGTGCGCTGCCCTGAATGCATTCCTGAAGCGAGAATACTTCCAAAGAGTTTGGATTTATCAGGAGCTTGCCTTGGGGGAGCAGGTAATACTGTGCTGCGGGAAAAGCTTTCTGCCTATTAACTTGTTCCACGGGTTGTCAATGGGCATCACGACTTGGCGGTCACCGTCAAAACCATGGAAAGAACGTTGGATCTTGAAGATGGTGGGTCTTACAGAGCGAATGAACGCGATTGGCGGCTATCCGAAAGAACACCCATTCTTGATTGCAGGTTCATTTGTTAAGGAACCGTTCCTCCTCAAAACTCTAATAGATGAGACGACTTCTTTGAGCTGTCAAGATCTGCGGGACAGAGTGTACGCAATTCTTTCCCTGGTTGATTGGAAAGGGCCAACACCTCTTCAACCAGATTACAACAAGGACAGTTTCGATCTAGCGGCCGAGTTTCTTTCAGCGGCGTGGAAACAGGAAGACTTTTCAAGTTTCACATACATAATAACCATCGTGAAGAACCTAGGACTTCATCATTGTCCATCGGCCAAAACAACAGAAGTTATGCAAAGGCGAAACACCGTTAATGCTCTTTCAGAGACAGAATCCCCCAAGGAAATTGAAACAGCGTTACGCAGGGGTAGACCTATTGAAGAACGGATCTATGTGGAGTGTGCCGGCAGTCGTATAGAATATGATGAGAAGGAGGACTTGCTGTTCGTCAAAGCGAGGAATTACAACAAGACTTGTATGTTTGAGCCAGGCGACGAATTCTATCAGTCATCAACATTGGCGGCCCCGCTCGATTCCTCAACGTTCCATGACTCTATTGTTCTTCCCCGAGGCGCCCAGGTAGGAGACTGGATAATGAGTGGACCCATCTCTGATGGTCTTACAGTTGTTGTACGCCAGCAGGCTGATGGACCATATTTTTCAATTGTTGGCACTGGCTATCGAAATACCAATGAGATCATGTGGTGGAGGACCAGATTCAGATTGTACTTGGACCCTGAGGACGCCATCGTTGTTGCCAATCTGGTACTTCCTTTCAAATCTCGTGGGACTCTTGCGGATTTGCGAGTTTTGATGAGAACTAGATTCTGTGGTAGTCCGGGGTCCTCATTTGCGCAGAGGTGGAATTGGAAAAGTGATATGAGGTATTGCTAGATGTGGGATTTGGTTAAAGGTTTCATATTGCAGGGCGAATTAATATACAGGTATGGTGGGGGCCGGTTGTCTTTTGAAAGAATGACCTCGCCGAAAACAAGGATATTTTCCTCTTCAAGAAGGCTCCCGATAAGAAACCAACCCGAGAACTGCGAAAGCTCTTCTAGCTGCCCCAAAAGTGAAAACTGTCCCAAACAAGGCAGACGTGGTGACGGCAGCGGTAAGGGGAGCTTCTTACTTGTTGACCCCCGGGGCCAAGCCATCGCCTCACATGAAGAGGTTGTGGACGACGGACCTAACACGATGGTGAAAAATATACACGACCTGGAGTAACAAAGCATGAGAAGGGCACAGGGCAAGAGGGCTCCAAGACGATCTGTAGCAGGCCGCCTGCACGAAAGATATCATGACGCAATGGGGTAGCAGAAGAAGTCACATTGAGAAGAACTTCTTGCGCACAAGTCTAATATTTGGAACGCGGCCAAATACGTCAAGTCGCAACAAGGTAGGCTCATTCGATGAATCACCCACGGTACTTCGAATGGATGGGACATAGACAACGAGCAGCGAGGGACAGTCGGATGAGCTTTCTAGAGAAATTCTCCACTTCGCTATCTGATGGCATCGATTATGAGGGAGACAGGCCACAAAGGGTACCAGTACATATACCCAGCGTCACAATGGGTGAGATAGAGAGACAGGTTTTGCAGCAAAGCTGTGGAAAACGCCTGGGTAGGATGGGCTACCTGCTGTCTTCTGGCAAAAGAGCTAGTCTGTCATCGTATCCTTGGGTATTGTGCCGTTCAGTCCCAACACTGTTCTGATTGACTAAGAGACTCCATCTTCCGGCCAATGTACCATATCCAGACCACACCGAGACCGAACTTGCTCACACTTTTGTGATGAAAGCGTCCCCATAAGCAAACCATTGGCCGCATCAGAAAATAACCATTCACATCCTTATTGGTTCTGTTGAACAAAGGTTAAAGGGATGGAGATATCTGGAAGATAGAATAGTGTACATGAAGATGTAGTTATGGCAAGATCGCAACACCCCCAGTATCTGAATGGACGGTTGGACCAACATAAGCCATAATGATATGCCACCATCATTGACCAACCGTGCAACCGTCCCATTCAGATATCCTGTATGTTCTGGAATGCTCCCTTGAGCATGTTTTGGGATGGCAGGTGGCAGCAGGTAATTTGGTGATTCGCCCCAGTCTATCCCTGGCACAATTTCTGCAAACAGCTTTAAACAGACACTCTTTCTGCAAAAGGCGCAAGGGCAGTGGTGCTAGCCTCCCGTGCATCCATTCTTTCAAAGTAATCCGTCACATTTTTCCTCCCAGGAAGAAGCACCCAAGAAGCCGGGCCCATTACCATCATCTTAAGAAGGCCGTAAAAGTGGATATCGGCGGCAGAGAACCGATCACCGCAAAGCCATGTCTTCCCCTCCAGCTCATCATCCAGAAGGTTTAAGAATTGGTTGATGACGACCTTCTCATTCACCTGTGCTGCAGGAGTCGGAATGCGGTTTCCTTTGTAGAAATCGATAGTGGCGGGATCGTTACGATACCACGAGATGACGGGTTGAGCAATCTCCAGATCCATGCGTCGCAGCCACATCCGTGTCTCGGCTCTCTCTTGGGCGGTTTCTCCAAACAGGCTCTTTCCACCCTCTGCAACTTCATCGAGGTACTCGCAGATTGCGGTGATTTCCGTCAACACGAAGTCGTCCGAGATACGTAGAGCGGGCAACTCGCCACGGGAATTCACGTCGCGACGGTACGCCAGCCTCCGGTTCTCTAAGGCCATGATATCAACCTGCTGAACATCGAGGTTGATACCGCCTCGTTCGAGGATAAACAACCGCACCACATAAGGATTGGGGGCCGCTGCGTCGTAGAACTTCATTTTTAATGAGAAAGGGAAATCGTAAGTAAAAAGAAGAAGTGGTCCAGCAAAAAAGTAATCAGCATCTCATGGCTACGGTTGCTCCTGGATTATATACCATGTCCCTTATACTGGTCTCGTTGTGGTTTCAAGCTACGTAATGTTTGGTGGAATCATGCAGAAAAACACCTAGCGGCCAAGAAATAACGGACTCTTCGGAGAGTTCTTCGGAACCCGGGTATGAAAGTGTCGGGCGGCGTGTAGAAATCTCAAGGTTACGGAAGAGATAGTCTTTCTAGTTTGCAAACCCCGGCGTTTGCAACGGAGTTAAAATCCCACGTCCGCACGCACGGCTCACCATGCAGCTCAGCCACGTGGTTGGCGGAGACAGTCACTGAATCGTGGGGCATAACTACTCAAATGTAGCAGCAACATTCAGTCTATGAACATTTCATTTAAGCCTTGAGAATTTGCGATATACTGGGTCCTTCCCACTTACTGCCCGAGATAATGGGTCAATATCGCTGGGCGTTGACCTAAAGTGTGACGATACCACTTCACCGCTTTAACTAGGGCATGATCGATGAGGAAGCTTAGCTCAATTCACCCGGAGATTCTCTGTTTGTCCCTGAAGAATTTTTTTCCCCCCGATAACGGGTCTTTCTGTCACACATTATCAAGATATGAAAGTGTCACTGTGTCTCAGCTAGAGCATTTTGGAGGCGTTCTCTCATACTGACAACTATCCCGGTGCTGTATGAGCTGCTACGCATAACGTCGGGTGGCACGGCCGTCAGCAAATCAACGAAAGCAGCTGTTATTGCTGTTTTCTGATGGCATGTGGGAGGTATTTCAACCCTAGTTGCTGATAAATGAAAAGAAAACAGAAAAGAAAGAAGTCACTAATAGAGGAAAAGCACGCGATAGTTTGCCATGCTAACTCTCTTTCCATACTACTCAAGTCAAATCACCGAGTCTTAGTGAGTTGGTATTGTACATCTCATTATCTTCACGCCTGCCCTTCGTACACAACACCAAGCAGCTCATAAAGCTAGGGAATGGTAACAGGTCAAAATGCTTACTCAGTGATTAACCACCCGTGTGGTAAGCCCCGACCGTCTTCACGCTTGGGAAAGGACCCGAAGGTGAGAATTTGTGGCAGGTGTGGAGCATATAATGGATAACAGCTCGGCGTATAACTGAACCGGAGTATACACATAGAATACAGACATATTTTCTTAGACTTTACCACATGAAAGGTGCGCCAGAGCGTACGCCACATGGAATACCGCACGGCAAGTCATTTCAGTTGACATTACAATGATCTGTCCGTTTTCGATATTTAGCGTTACAGCATGTACGTAGGTTACGTCTCCATTTGGTTTCAAACGAAGAAGATCTTGATGCACACAACGGTTCCTTTTTCGTTAAGAACCAGTTTTTCAAGTTGTTAATCGGGCAAAACATGTACTGGTTCTGAAAAGGAACATTCTTAACGATTCAGATATCGTTCAGGTTACACATCAGTCCCACTAATTCAGTTTCCTGAATTACCTACCCATTGAAAGCTACGCAGCACCAAAAAGAAACACTACCATCACCACATAAAAACCAGGCAACGCAAAGCAATGTCCAGAAAACACACGCTGCCCAAGACATATCATGGTATAATTAAACGGGCCGTAGTCTCATGTCCCAACTGTCAACGCTCATCTTCTCGCACGCAAAAATCTTAGTCTACCCAACCCATGATCTCCCGCAATACCAAAAGGAGAAACCCTCGCTGCCGTCATTATTCCAACGCATCATTAACACTCATATAGTTCATCGACATCATCCACGTCAAGAGTTATCTTACGCGACCACCTCGGTGTCCCGGTAGTGAATCCTCGACAAGCCGTACGCTTCCTTGGAAGCCAAGTTGTAGAGCATCGCCAGGATAAGGAACGTGGGCAAGACGGAGAGGACAAAGTCGAAGATGCCGGTGTACATGGTAGCGTCGCCGAAAGCCCCAAAGTACCATACAATAACCTCCACCAAGGCCCAGAGTCTAGTCGTGAGCCAGAAGATTGAGCAGATGCGCAGGATAGAAGCAGCCTTTAAAGAGGGTAAAAGAAAAGTCAGTACCGCGTGTGGTCTTGCGGGAAAATTTCCATAAACAGATTTAAACGAAGCCTAACGTACCTTGCTCACGGGGCTGTCCTTAGCTTCCTTCCGGGCCTTGCTGGCGTAGACGATGATGCAGAAGGCGGCGATGACCAAGATGCCGGTGTTGGCCATGTTGATATAGGCCGCGGCTTGCATCATCTTGTTAATCTTCATAAAGTCCTCATAGGTAAACCTGCCGTCGAACCTCCTGCTGTTCAGCATGACGTTGTAAGCCATGTAGAGGCCGAAGATGACGACGCCCAGGAGAGTGATGAGGACGGACACGCCGAGGGCGGCTTTTCGGCCGCCCCGATGGGCCTTTGACTCGTCCGTCACGGCGCCGGTGCGGAGCTGGGTCAGGGCATGGCAGAGGTTGAACAGGGCGAGGAAGAGGGCGACTTGAGCCATCACATAGAAGAGTGTGCTGAAGGGATACATGTAGCTCATGGCTTCGTATTCTCGAGGGTATCCCCATTGCCGGCGGACGTTTGCAATAACGTTGAGGATGTAGGCTATGATGCCGACGACGTAAGATCTGGAGTCAAACGGGACAAAGTCAGCATTCCCCGCTATTTCCAAGTCTTGCCCGAAAGCTTCAGGGTCTTTCAAAGATGCTCCGAGATAAAGGGTCAAGCCACGACATAAAGGAGAACTGAAGCTACTGACGCGATCCAAAATCCAAAGGAAACTTTGGTAAAGTCCACCCATCGGCGAGTATGGTCATGCTTGGCGCCCGGCTTGCGGAGGAGGCGGGCGAAGAACCAGGTGGCCGGGATGAGGATCAGTCCGGTGAGGACGATCTGGACCACCATGGTGATCTCCCAGCCGGTGAGTCCCATACTTTGGCTTTGCTTTGCTTGTATACTTTTTTCTTTCTTTTTTTTTTTTTTTTTTTTTTTTTTCGGATGACGATTAAATTTTAAGCTTAAAGAATAACGTCGTTAGTGGGTTCGAGGCTTTAATGTTCCTCTCGAAGGGTAAAGATAGCGCGCGCGGGAACGATAACGTCACATAAGTATCCTGGGGCAGCAGACACTTCAAGTATGTCCTTTTATTGGGGCTTTTGAGGGGACATCTTGGCGACGCATACTCGTGGTATAATCATTAGCCTCTAAGCGGAAATGTACACCCCGGCCGGGCGATGCTGTGCCGCAGAAGCCGCCTCGGCACCCTCTGAGCGAACAGGGTAAAAGCAAGTCGTCGCCGCATATGGTTGGCCCGACTCTTCAGACTGGCCGACCCTACGCCCAGCTGCGCCTCTTTAGAATGCCAGGCAAAAAAAAGACTGTGGCAGATTTTTGCGCCCGGTAGTCGCCCAGTGACCAGGTCTCCAGGCAAACCTGACGGGATATAGTGTTGAGACAGCAGATGGGCTGATTGGGCCCGGTGATGACTTGGAGTCGTCCCTTTAAGGATGTTATCCGCACTCCACGCGCACGTGGCTGGGTAAATGGCAGCATGCCACGGCGGTTGGGCTTCTTCTTCTTCTTCTTCTTCTTGTCATGGGAGAAACCCCGCTGCACCTATATCTCGCTCCAGACCGGGCGACCTGGAGCGGTAGTCGAGCCCGCTTCGCTTAAGTGTAGTAAACCACATACAGACGTCCAACCCCGAATATGACCACGTCGACCAATCACGGAAGAAACGAGGCCTCCCCCACAGGACGAAATGGATGTAAGTGAATTTTGACTACTTCCGTAAACGACGGAAATCCACGGTTGCATGAGAAAGTCATATCAAGCACACGCGTCTCCAACTGCGCCGCCTGCTTGGCGGACATAAGACTCATTGTGAGCCAGCTTGACGATTCTCGCAGAGAAGTGCCCGACGACTAAATAGAAAAATTATCGTAGAGCGTCGTACGGCTACCGGGCCCTTCACGATGAAATGCAAAAAGTCCAGATACAACTCAAAACATGACAGGTTCAGTTCCCTCCGCCAGCCAAGCCCTAACCACACACCATCCAGAAATCAAGCACAGCCCCAGGTTCATCATGCCTCCCCTCACTGGGGAAAAAAAAAAAGCCCAGTCCATTTTCACTCGTGTCTCGAGGATATATGGTCACAGTCATTATTGCATTAGACCACACACAACCAGGGTTGCCATAGTCAGGAGCTGGTGGCAGCCTGGGTTCGTCTTTCACCTAACATCCCACCTCCACTGTTAATAAAGATATTGTCACCAGAATTCACCGACCATAATTTGAAAACATGTCCCTTTTCCTCATACGACAACAAAAGCCGCAGTCTTCACGTAGTTGAACGACTCACACAATCTTCAAGACTCTGCAATATTCAAACAACTTTCAATTCCCTCATCCACACAACATCTACCCGTCCCCCCCATAAACGATAGTATAAACACCACATCGAAACGAACGTGCCCCTCTCAAATCCATCCAACATGTGATTCTCATCTCGCTTTCACATAAAATACAAAAAAAAGGAGACGAATCAAAAAAAGATCCCATCCGAGATCATACCGCCCCAGTAATCAATCCCATGCACCCCAGACCCAAGGTGACCCCTTCCCGAAATCCATGTATACACGCGTCAGCAACACCCTCCTTTTTTTACCCTTCGCCCGAGTTGTCTGAAGACAAAAGACAAAGGGGAAACAAGGGACTCTCTGACTCTCTTCGTGTCTTGCCGCAGTGACTAACGACGCCCAAAACTCCAGCTCGTGATGCGCCCAGAAAACAAAAACTAACAAGAGGAATGCAGACGTCAACGCGACATCTCGGGACTGCTCTCCCGACTCCGCTCAATACTCTCCACCATCTCAAGCACCCTCGTCCGCGGTCTCGCAACACTGACAACCTCGGCAGTCCTAAGCGTCAGAGACGGCCTGGGCTCAGACTCGTCCCTCGACGGACGCAGCGAATTCGAGTCGTCATCCCGCGGCGGCGGCAAATGCAACAACCTCCTCCCGCGCGTCGGCGACACAGATACTCCTGCGCCGGGCGACTCGGGTCTGCGGTGCGCCGTCGTGATATCCTCCTCCGCGACCTCCGTCTCTTTACCCTTACCCCTGTAATCCTCCTCCATCAACGCCCTCTTTTCCGCATCGCCGGAAACCCTGTCGAGGTCATCCAGCTCGTCCCTGTCCGGGTCGACCAGCACCGCCTCTTCCTCCTTTTCCACCTCGGCGTTGACGACTCGCAGCCTCTCCTTCGGCACGGTGAACATGACCTGCACGAGCCGCTGCTCGATCGCCTTCTCAATGTCCCACTCGTCCGCGATAGACTTTTGGTCGACGTCCCAGTCATGTCGGCCCTGTTTCCTGCGCAGTAGCTCCGCGCCGCCGATCCCCGATAGCCCGACCAGACGCGGCTCGTAGTCCGAACTGACCTGGTCAAGTGACATGCGGCGGGCGTTCTCGTCTTCTTTACTTGAGTCTGAGGAATCGTTCGGGTTGCCGCTGAATACCCGTCGCAGACTGCCCAGCCAGCCTAGTGACCGTCTTGGTTTATGCTTGCTGGGACTGCTCGGCACATGCACGAACTCGTCGTCATCGTCTTCAACCGCTTCATTTAGAGGTCGCTGACCACGATGGAGAAGCGAAGGACCCTCGGCCTGTAACGCGTTGAAGGTTGTTTTGGCAGTCGAGTAAGTGTGTCCACTGCTACCCGAAGAAGATGACGTGCCCACCCGGCCATCAGTGATGATGGTCAAGTTGGCCCCGGGACCCGTGCTATTGCGTTTGGCAGATGCACTCCGCGTCGGCACGCTGATAGCGCTGCGCGCGGACTCCGACACATTGCTCGCCGTGCGCTCGTCGTCCGCCATGGACGCCCGCGACCGCATCGATGCTCTCCGTGTAGGAGACTTGCGGCCCGTGTTCCGACGCAGCGGCATCTGAGCGAGGAGCGCCTCGGCGGCGTCCACATCCGACTGCCAGTCCTGCACCTCGGGGTCCCGCCTCAAGGCGGCTTCTGGACTGGGAGTCATGGAATTGCGGTTGCCGGGGACAAGTATCGGGACGGAGCTGGTGGGGGTGATAAAGGGGTCGGGGTAGCCGGGCGTCGTAGGCGTGCCGGGCTCTCGGTTTCGTAGTCTCGCCTTAGAATTGTCGGGATCGTCTTCATCCGCTTCATAGATTGGGTGGATGTGACCGGGGGTGCTAAGACTCGCGGCCGGCTGGTAGGCCCCCCTGGCAGCGCGGGGGATCGGCTTGCGGGGGATCATCAGACCGGGGGGTTGCTGATAGGCGCCATAGCCTCCGGGGTTGGGATCTTTTCTGAGAGATTCATATCCGAGTGACCTCGCGCCTGTGTCGTAGGGATCGTGTCCCCCAGTATACCAGGAATTATTCGACCAGGGGAGGGCATATGCGTCGTGGCGCTCAAGCATGTCGTCCTCGGGCTGCAAGAAATGCGAGGCGTCCTGCGCCAGTGACCGTACCGTCTCCTCTCTCGCCTCCCTCTTCTTCTTCAAATACCTCCTGTAACAAAAGTAAACCAAAAAGGCTCCGATGATGGCCGCAGCCCCAATACCCAAACCGACACCAAGACCAATCTTCTTGATATTATCGTTGGAGCCGCTTTGCGCATCTTTTGGCGAGCCGCTGTAAGTGGGGTTCGAGTAGCTCGTTGTCCACGACAACGAAGTCATATTCAAAAACCGCAGTCCGCTGCCGTTCGACTGCCTCTTCATCTTCGATCCTGAGCTCGTAATTTCGTGTCCTCCGTAGACCATCATGACGTTTCCTGGCAATATGGCCGCGCCATGACCATAAAACGCTCCAGAGGGCTGCTGTCGCGGTATCTCCCACGTCCAGTCCCCGTACGTATCTCCCATTCGTAAAACCGCTAACTGCGGCGAAGCTGCCTGCGATACGCTCCCAACCCAGCCTCCCATGATAATGAGTGAAGTTCCGTCCTCGCTCAACACAGCCGTATGCCCTGATCTGCTCTCGACGCTGTCTGAACTCCGCTGTTGAAGATCCCTAACGGCAAGCTTCTTGCTGCCGGAGCTAGGCGACCCGACGGTCGCAAAGTTCCACGACTCTTCAGGCAGGTTCCAGATGGCAGCGGAGCTCATGTTGATGAAGGCCTGCTGCGTATGGCCGCCAAGTAAAACGTAGCGGTTCTGCTGAGTGACGATCCCTGACCGATTTGAAATGGAGGGGCTCAGGGGCGTGAACGAGAACCCCGCTTCAGGAAAGGCTGGACCCTTGCCGGTGATGAAGCTCGCCGTGTAAGATGCAGGATCCCCGTTCGACGGGGCGGCCCTCAGCATCGCCTTCGTATACGTGCCGTTCTCTTGCCATGTTGACGCATCTGTTGTCGAAGCCAGACACATGCCACCGTAAGAGTATAATACAGGCTGCGACATGGTCGGCGCGAGCGTCGCAGAAAAGCTAATGCCAGCGCCGAGAGCGTACGGCCCCGCGTCTGAGTCTGCGGAGCTTGGCAGCGACGCCGCCGTTTTATACCATGATCCGATGGTATCCCCTATCCCGGGGGTATACCCCCAAATATCATATCCGTCATTCTTCATGCAATCGCCGGCTTGTACCAAAACCGTCCCGTTGTCAGCCATCGTAGGCAAGAATGCCGTCGTCTTAGTGGCGCCATTGAGGAACGGCAAACTGGATGATATCGTCTGCAGGGTCGCCGCCCCGCTGACAGTGGCCGAGACATTTACAGACAATAGCTTGACGCCGCCGCTATCGCTGTGAAAGATATATGCAAGACCGTTCCCAGTGGTGTTGCTGGGCGTCCCCGCGAGAGCGGAGGGAAGCAGGATGGTCGTCGGAACATACGGGAATGTTTGCTGTGCCGTCGCCAAAGAAGAGAAGAGCAGCGTGGCGAGCGCAGTCTTGAGGATAGCGGTGTCGGTTTCGAAGGCCCAGCGGCCTGTTGTCGAGGCCATGGCCGCCTCTTGAGGGATTAAAATCTGTCCGCTTATTGGTGTCGCGCGAGTTCGCACTCTGCCGTCGGGCTATGTAAATCGTATCCGCCAACCGCTATGCGGTGGTCAAATTCATGGTAATCCTCCCAGCAGTAGTCGTTATGTCGATCGCGAAAAGGATGTCTTGACTCGGCGTATACCTCGTGTGGTGCTGTGGAGGGGTCTAGAACACTGATGATTCAACGACCAAGCATTCTTCTTTTTTTTTTTTCTCGTCTTCTCAGCCCTTGACTCTTCCCTGGCTGCGACAATGGGTCTCCCGTATGCGTTTGGCGAAAAGTGATAAGCGGGAGTGAAAGAACGAAAAGCACGGGGCAATGCGGGAAAGAGGAGGCCAGAGCTGGGAAGAAAAAAAGATGGAGAAAAAGGGACCCCCCCAGATGGGACCGATAGATTAATCTGATGATGGAAGCAAATCGAGGGGAGAGGAGGTTGGGCTATGGTGGTTCCTGCAAGGGTGGATTTTGCCAATGGCACCGGTCAATGTCAACAAATCGAATGGTCTCGACGTACAGAATAGCAGGGGGGGCAGGCAACCCGGTGGGAGGAGGGGGAAGAGATGGAAAAGAAAAAAGACGGGATGGGATACCGAAGAGACCAACCAACATTGACCAACAGAAACGTCTGTTTCGGTGTCCGTCGAGGCCGCGTGGTTCAAACTTTGGCTGTTGAAAAGGCTAGAACAGACATCTTCTGTGCCGCAGGGTATCTGTAGTGTCAGGTAGCGTCAGCTCGAACCAATCGACGCCTGTCAAATGGCATCATGAGGAACCCGTGGTGGCAGGTGTTGGATCAACCGCCTACAGGGTTTGTTTTGGCGGGCGTTGGTGACAAGCCTGTCGCTGGGGCAACAGCGACGGCCCCCCCTCGCTCAGCGGGGTCCACGGCTACCCGGACCCTTGTCAATCGATTTGCACTATACCTATAGTGGGCTAGTGCCGCCCCCATCCCTGATGTTGCTCCTTTGTTCCCTTCTCCAATCCTGCCTTGTTTTCCGTCTTACTCTTATCAGTGGGTCCTTGAAACTGATAAACAATGAATCTATGGGAGTGCTCGACTTGAAAGCTAGTATTTAGGAGGTAGCTTTAGCTTCTTTGGAATCACATGTCGGAATACACAAGGACAATCGAGTATTGATACTTGTTGGGTAGGTTTGTAGGTTTGATGTATTTCGCTCACTGCCACATTGTCCCATCAACTGGCCCAATCAAATAAGCTACACCAATGCGAGCAATAGAAAACATTACTTCCCCATCCAACCTCCTTTGTACCACCACCACCACTGTGATCCGAGCTGCGTGCCTCCCAGACAACAACCGAAAGACATGCGTGCTCTACGACACCATCCAAGACACAAGCTGCTGCCAAAAGAGGGACACACCTGATGTAGACAAGTATCGTTTAGTTGCTTACCATGTTGGCAGGAGTGCTCCGAAAAGGAACGGCGCCAGTTGGCTCCGTCTGTCCAGGCGCAGGCGCGAAGAGAAAGCTCTTGTAGCTCTCTGGGAGGTGTGGTTTGATCTTCTCTAGCCTCGCCTCCAGCTCCTCCAGCCTCATCAGCTTGTCGGTCTGGTCCTGGAGCTCACCAGCGAGCTTTGCAGCTTTGTGCTCCAGCACCGTAGCACCGTCCCTCGCTTCCGATGTCGTATAGTACGCCTCGAACTGCGCGTTCATGAACCGTGCCCTATCGAGCTCCGTAGCGAGCGTCTCGTTGTGTTCTTGCATTTTGTGGTTGACCTTGGCCATCTCGTGGTTCTGTATCTCCATCCTCGTCGCCTCGTCCAGCTTGCCCTTGTACTTGGTCTCCCAGTCTGACACTCTCGCTGGCCACGTCGGGGTGATCACCGAGACCACCGTCGGTGTAACTTCGAGGCGACGTGTCTGTTGGACGGCCGGGTGTTCGCCGTGCGCAGGTAGGATGAAGATGGTACTCTTTCCCTTGCCCTGGAGACGGAAGAAACGTGTCTTTACGTCGTAGAAGACGAGACCACGGGCGTAGAGGTCACCGCCACGCTGTTCTTTCCACATATGCTCGCCATACGTGCCGTTGGCCGTCCAAATCTCCTCCTTGATTTTGATCTGCGCCTCTTGTCTGTCTAACATGCGATGTAGGTGGTCAAAAACATCGTCGCCAGCGTTTGCCAGAATCCACTTGTCCTGAGGATAAGCGATCTCGCGACCGGAATTGCCGTCCGGGCCGATCTTGGAGAGCATCTGCATCGGCACGGCGGCCTCGCCGGCGGTGACATCGAGGGCGTTGGCGTAGCTGAGTTCCAAATCATGCATGCGAGCCACAAGGTGTTGGGCGAAGAGGAGCCACTGGCCCAAGAGGCTGTTGCGTACGGCGGCCATCTCGGCGGAATCAGTCTTGGAGTCCGTAGGTAGCAGAGACATGAGGCCTCCTGTGGCACTGTACTCGTGGTCTAGCATTTCGAGACAGTCATTCGCGTGCATGGTGAGAGCACTGTGTGCTGCGTAGGGGCGTGGCTTCAACGCCGTTGTCTCCTCTTCGTCGAAGCTCTGCAAAGGGCAGTGATACTCTATGCCTCTGTTGTCCGATTGCCGCCTGACCTTGTTCATGAGGTCGACAAGCGGCTTCTGGTGCCAGTCGTCGTCATTCTCGTACGGCTTACTGAGGTCGTTAAGCCAGTCGAAGGCTTCGTTATCTCTGAAAGACTTCTTGATACGCCCGTTCGTGTTGATCTGGTTGTTGACCTCAGCGTATTGGCTCGTCGGAGTTATCTGACTTATAAGGATAGCTAGAGCTTGGGCATGCTGTTTGAGCGCCAGAAGTGTAGGGGCTACGCCGTGCGTGGAGAGATAGCCGCAGTTGACATGGCGCAGAAGCTTCATATCGATTGGTCTGGCACTGCTAGAGCCATGTCTTCCGCCATTAATGATTTCCTCAGTGTAACGAGACTGGTAACCATGGGCATATGGTGTCTTGTCAACATAACAGTGCTGAGGTTCTAAATCTTCCGAAGCATAGGTAGACGAGTTGGTCATGTTGAAGAGAAATGATTGCTTCAACGGAACTGAGTGTACTGCCCACGCGTTCGTTGCAGAGACGACTATAGATGAAACTCGATCTCAACGTCATCTTCTTATCTGGGAAATTTGTCTTTGTCCAAGTTTCTCTCAATCTTCCTCTTCCCTGGTTTTTGTTCAAGGCAGTTTGATATTCTTGCTTATGCTGTATGCATTCATGCAACAAGGCGGACAAAGGAGATGTCCTGGTGCTTCCATGGTAGTGGTATATCATCTGACGACAAACATCACAGTCGCATTCACTGGCGGTACCTCACATAGAAACAATTGAAAAGCGAACACTGAAACCTGAATAACCACAATGGACCAATATCAAACGAGCTGCACGAGAAATCAATGCTTCAGCCATCGGTTACCAATCTCCCACAGGGAGAGACAGGCCCCATCTTTGTTTTAGTCTGAAAGAAGCCACTTGGAATAGAACAAAAAGGAAGATGCAAATGAGTTGACAATCTGTGGCCAATCCCAGTAGCAAAGCCATCACGACAGAGAACCTCCATTTTTGCCCCAGTCAAAACGGCATGGCAGCCTTCAGGCGGTGTTGGGCACAGAATATGCCGGTGGCTCATTTGAGCACCTTTGTGGATGCATTCACAAATCTTGGCGAGGTCTACGTTGTTCCTCTGAAAGGTCACATGCCCGCCGCTTGAGCGAATTTGAGATGGGCGATCAGCTTGACAAAACGGATCTTCATCCAGAATACGGGTCCGGAGGAACTCAGATAAGAAGGACGCAGATATCTCCGACCATCTACTGGTTGCTGCCAGGTGCCGGCCGACAATGTGATGTTATTAATTTGAGCATGTCGGAACGGTTAAGCGATCTGGAAACCAACGCCGGCGCGATTTATCCGGAGTATGCAAAAATGAAATGAGGCATTCAAATAGAGTTTAGAACGGTGGCCAAAGTCTCTGGCGGAAAGTACCGGTGTTGACCGATACCAGTATGGGATAGTTAATCAAGGGGATCGAGGGCGGATTTGGGCCTGGACCAGTCGAAATACGCTTCTCAGCTGGCGACAACACACATGAAGGTGCACACGACCACTAAATCTGCAAGAGGTGCAGCGAAGGCCAGCTGTGCAGGCATGTGTGAAATATGTAGCAGACACTTGAGGATTGCAGCTTAGACCAATTGAGCAACTAGTGCGTTTGCCAAATGAGACCGCTGTGTTGTCAATATGAGCGCGTCGTCGTTCCAGTCGAGAAGCGCTTTCCAGCCTCGATAGCGCCAAACGCAAAACACTGCGAGAAGCCAACGATGGAAAGGGAAGAAGAAAAAAAAAACGGTGTGGCCGGCCAGACCCGTAATTGACCACGCGGTCGCAGAAAAGTGGCAGTGCCTCGCATGCTGCCCGCTTCTCCAGTGAGCTTGTCAACTTGTAGTTTGCTGCCGCTATTCTTTGGGGCTGGTCCACCGTGTTTTTCAGTGACCCAATCTCCTCGTCAGCCCAGCAGGGGTCCAACGACTGGCAGAGGAACTGTCTGTTGATAGCAGCAAGGGAGCGGATGCCATAATGTGGAGGAAGTGAGATTTCCCCCCAGAATAGCGCCGATGGAAGCTTGACCGAATAGCCGGAAGGGGTTTGGCACTCGAACCACCTAGGTTAATTTTTGACGATGGTGGGAAAAAAATTCGAGGTCTTGCAGAGTGGGAAATTGGTAGTGTCCACCAACGAAGAGGTAGCCTTTGTGGTCACACATAAATCCATCATCATGATTTTATCCGCTTCATAGCAAGTTCACGCCCGCGCTATATGTCAACGAGCGTTAGTGCCGCGTAAACGGAGGTGATGACGCTGATGAGGAAGTGCCCAGACGGCTGAAGTCAAGACTGTTTGTCTTAGATCTCCGATTCCCACAGCATCAACATGTTGGTCGATGTTTTCAAGCGTGATGGGCAAGCGCTGCATGGAAGTGGAGGTTTGATTGTCGACTATCATGAGCCAGTTGCGTCAGTGGGCTGGTTTCGCTTCTCACGCTTTTCCTCGGCCGAAAGCCAAGTAGGCATATTGATGTCACTGGTCCATCTTTTTTGTCGCTGGTGGTTGCCGCTCGTTCTACCGCCCACTGATTCGTCGGGAGATAGACGTACGTTAGTGTACCATGGAAAGGTCAAGGGCACAATCAGGTCAGTGCCAGGTGAATGAATGATGGGCGGCAGGCTGGGAAAAGCTTTGCTTTACGGCCATGTAGCATTCGAAGCAAGGGCATTCTGCAGACCAGGGGAACTGGTGTGGCTCAGCAGCCAGGGACCCTGCGATAGGCCCTGCAGCGGGAAAGTCAGAGTTCAGATTCTAGGTGTTGAAAAACCTGGAATTTGGATGCTCCGCATGCGGTTTGCCGGGGTCGATTGCAACTCTGCCGGCAGGTCACAGCCGGGTAGTTAACGGTGTGTCCGGTGAGGGTTGATGAAGAAATGAGCAAAGTAGGTATCCGTATGGCAGAGAGGTATCAGGGCGATGTTTCTCGATAGAGAGAGAGCAACTGACTACCTACCGATTAGTAGAATACCAGACGAACACATCTAGCAATCCAGGACGGACCGTAGCAATGTCTGAGAGTATTGGATTGAGGGCAGGTACAGACGGGGGGAGGGAGCCAAGACAAAATTTGCGAGAGTTGGGCTAATGAGATAGTAGGACAGAAGAGGAAAGGGGGGGGGGACCACAAGCCAGCATAGGCTGGTACAGGCTGGCGCTGGCTGGCAGCTTGCCTCAGAAAGAGTGCTCTTGCTAAAAAGGGCTGTACTTGATGGAGGTAAAATGTGGTTTCCAATTCAATGCCTAATAGCCAATCATATTAGCTGAACAGAGCATTTAGCGGATCCGCATTGAGTTGACTGGCCAGAATCTCTCGTCGATGGTCTCGCTCCCCGCTAGGTGGTCAGTGCACTACCATTTACAGGTGCATCGGCTCCAGGGAGCTCCTGCAGCTGGTCAACCCCCTTCAAAATGCTAGACCCCTGTCGGGTGGGCCCCCTTTCCACTGAAGCTATGCCGTAATTGAACGTTGCACGATAGTCGAGTTGAATTGGCGCTGCAAAATATGCGTCATACCCTGTCAGAGTAGCCTGTGCTAGCTGCCTTGCTACGGAACTGTCACTCCTTTCGCCTCCTCTCTCTCAGTGCCTTGACCTGGCACTATCTCTCCCACCTGCCGAACTTCAGCTGTTGTCTGTCCCCCGACCCCCAATTATTCTTCTTGCCCACGCTGGCATGTGAGGTCAGTAGGTTTGATGGAGGGTCAGAGTCAGCTGCGTCCAGTTAATGGACTGTAGGTCTGGCCAAGGCGAGGCCGAGCTAGGGTTTCTGTCAGATTAGAGTGATCGTTGGCCTCTCTTCCATTACTCAAGAGCCTGTCGAGGACCCTTGAACATAAGAATAAGGGACGGCCAGGACCCCCTCTTCAGCCCAACGTGGTCGTCTCAAGATTAAACAAACCCTGAAAGAAAGGTCCATCAAGGGCTTTTTTACCATCGAGCTTAACCTCTGCCTTCACAATCCTCAATCTTCTCCACACTACCGTGGCTATTTTCCTCCTTGACACCGTCCATACCCTTGGTTCGCCCAGAAAACCATCAATCATCATCGAACCAGCACCGGAGAAAAAAGAGAAAAAAAAAGAGGGCATTGCTGGGCAGAAAAAAAGATAAAGGGAGGGTAACGCAGCTTCTACATAGTAGTCTCAATCTGGTGGCGTCACCTCCTTTCAGCACAGTGACGACTTGAGACATTGGGGGACGCGCCCAATTTCCCTCCGTCACGTCACCGTTTCTTCTTTTCATTACCACACTTCTTACTTCACCCTTCCTCTTCTTGCATAAACTGGTACCAGTGCTGGGTACACTTACCATACCTTGCACCACGCACCAGGCCCGCCACAAAGCTCTGGTCAGCTTGTCGCTTGTGCAACTGATCGACCTACCCGCTCTATCGGGCATCGTGCCGTCTCTTCTTGGGTCCAACTCCCGGTTTTCCAGGTTTTGGGCACCGCACATATCATCCCACATCCTCCCCTTCTAGCTTTTACACCCCTGTTCCTTCTCTCTTTCTACTGCCTCCTCCACGGCACGCCCTCTTCTTGTTTTAATATCCCGACCTGACCCAGGGACCCCACCACCCTGCCCTTCATCCCTCGATCTCTTATTTTTTTTGTGTCCTTTCCTCCGTCTTATACACATAAACCAACACCACCAGTACCGACATTGAGGCGTCGAGCTCAATACTGTCGCCATGTCGGCCCTAGACGATCTTCAGGGCGGCCAGGACAACCGCGGCGAGGCGCGCGGTGACGAGTCCGGCAGTTCGATATCTGGTATGGTGTCGACGCTGGCCGTCTGTCTTCCCCTGGCCACCGCCTACCTTGTCATCTTTTTGATTCTTCGTAAAAGCCAACGAAGATACTACGCACCAAGAACTTATCTTGGCAGTTTGCGTGAAAAGTAAGCGAGTTTTGCTTTCTGACATTGGCTATTCTCAGTGTTAACACTTTTTACAGCGAGCGAACGCCAGGCCTTCCCAACGGCTTCCTCAACTGGTTCGGCGAGTTTTGGAAGATCCCCGATGTCTATGCTCTTAAGCACCAGTCGCTCGATTCTTACCTGTTCCTTCGATTCTTGCGACTTTGCGCCTCCATTTGTCTTGTTGGTCTCATCATCACGTGGCCTATCCTGTTCCCCATCAACGCCACAGGTGGTGGCTCTGCGAACCAGCTCGACATCCTCACATACGGCAATATCGATGTGACCCGCCCTGAAGGCCTCAACCGCCTCTACGCTCACGCTTTCCTCGGCTGGATCTTCTATGGCTTCATTATGTATCTGATTATGCGCGAGTGCATCTTCTACATTAACTTGCGCCAGGCCTTCCTCCTTTCCCCTACATACGCCAAGCGTATCTCCTCGCGGACCGTTCTCTTCACCTCCGTTCCCGACGAGTATCTCGATGAAGCCAGATTCAAGAAGCTCTTCAGCGATTCTGTCAAGAGAGTTTGGATCACAGGAGACACCGAGAAGTTGGATGAGTTGGTTGAGGAGCGTGACAAGGTTGCCATGAAGCTGGAGAAGGCCCAGGTCAAACTGATCAAGCTCGCCAATGCCGCCCGTCTCAAGGCCATCAAGAATGGTGCCTCGGCTGAGAAGACTCCCCCCGCTCAGGATCCTGAGTCTGGCGACGTGGCCGCCCGTTGGATTCCTCAGAAGCAGCGCCCGACCCACCGACTTGGCCTGTTGGGCTTGGTTGGCAAGAAGGTTGACACCATCGAGTGGTGCCGATCCGAGCTGCAGCGCCTTGTTCCTGCTGTCGAGGCCGCTCAAGCTGAATATCGCGCTGGAAAGGCCAAGAAGATCCCCGCTGTTTTCGTCGAATTCTTTACCCAATCCGATGCTCAAGCCGCCTACCAGGTCACCACTCACCACCAAGCACTTCAAATGACCCCCAAGTACATTGGAATCCAGCCCACCGAAGTCATCTGGAAGTCTCTCAGGGTTTCCTGGTGGCAGAAGGTTGTCCGCCGTTACGCTGTAATTGCCTTCATCACCGCACTCATCATTTTCTGGGCCATTCCCGTCACCGTTGTCGGATTCATCTCCCAAGTTTCGCAACTCGAGAAAATCTCGTGGCTCAGCTGGCTCAAACAGATCCCCAATTGGATCATGGGTGTCATTTCTGGTTTACTTCCCAGTGTGGCTTTGTCAATTCTTATGTCACTGGTTCCGGTTATTATGCGACTCTGCGCCAAGCTGTCTGGAGAGCCCTCTGACTCCCGCGTTGAACTGTTTACCCAGAACGCCTACTACTGGTTCCAACTCATCCAGGTCTTCCTCATCACCACCATTTCGCAGTCAGCTCTCGCCGCTGTCATCAGCATCGCCCAGAATCCCGGCTCCATCTTTGCGACGCTTTCTGAGGCTTTGCCCAAGTCGTCTAGCTTCTACAACAGCTACTTCATCATCCAAGGTATCACGGTCTCGGTTGGCGTCATGACCCAGGTCGTCGGTTTCGCCATCTTCGTGTTGCTCCTCAAGTTCCTCACAAACACACCTAGAGCCTTGTACAACAAATGGTCTACTCTTGCGGCCATTTCGTGGGGCAGTGTGCTGCCCGTCTATACCATGATTTCCGTCATCAGTAAGTTTTGATCTACCTTGCACTGCAACCACCCTGCTAATCTTGGTCACAGGCATTACTTATGCAATCATCGCGCCGCTCATGCTCTTTTTCTCGACGATCGGCATGGGTCTTTTCTACCTTGCGTACCGCTACAACATTCTTTTCGTCACCGACACCAAGATTGACACTAGAGGTCTTCTCTACCCTCGCGCGCTAAAGCAGCTGTTCGCCGGCGTGTATCTTGCCGAGATCTGTATGATTGGTCTCTTCGCCGTGTCAAAAGCCATTGGCCCCCTTGTCATCATGGTCATCTTCCTCGTCTTCTCCATTCTTTTCCACCTTACTCTTAACAGCGTTTTGGATCCTCTCATGTACACCCTCCCCCGAAGCTTGCAAGTTGAGGAGGAGTCATTGAACGCCAATATCGAAGATATCGACCGCCAAGAATCTGGCCAGACGGCCGCGGAAGATACCAACGGCAAGTCTAGCAACCCTTTCAAGAAGATCACCAATGTCACAAACTTCGCACCGGGCGGCGATGGAAGCCAGGTGGAGAGAGAAGGCGGCAACTTGCTCACTCGCTTCCTCAAGCCTTGGGTATTTGCCGACTACATGCATCTTCGCCAGCTGGTGCCCCGCGACGAGAGCACCGTAGACGAGCTTTACCCTGGCAACATTCAGGATAACGCCTACTACCCACCCTCGGTCTCCAGCCCGGCCCCGCTCCTGTGGATTCCGGAAGACGCAGCCGGCGTTTCCAAGTATGAGATTGCGCAGACCAGCAAGATCATCCCGATCACCGATGAGGGCTGCCAGTTGGATGAGAAGAACAAGCTGGTATGGGACTCTGAGGGAGCAAGACCTCCTATTTGGGATGAGAAGATTTACTACTAAGCCACATGTTTATCCGGCATCTGTACACCACCGTTGATACCCGGCGGAGTTTGAGCTCTCGCATTAATGACTAGCCTTTTAGGCATCAGTCTCTCTTATGTAGTTGTGTGTGTAATGATATATATGAAAACCCATGAACTTGTCTTGACATGCCGCACGTGTATAGTAGATGAAAGTGCATCAAGTCGCCGTCTTTGTATGGAATCAAAAATTTTGAGATTCATTTCGGTACACAACAGAACTGAAACTGCAATCGTGTTGTATCAATCGCCCCTCTCCCATGACAGCACTTGAGTTGTTTTTGTGCGAAAAAAAAAATATATATAAAAAATAACAGATGCTTTTTCCTGAAGGTATCATGCTGACGGTTCGGTAGAAGCTGTGCGTCGAGAAGTCTTGGGCTGAGTACAATTGATGATTCAAATCTGGTCCAAGACTACCAGACTAGACTACGTAGTGAATCGTGCCTTGCAAGCGTACATCAATTCACGATACTGATGATTGACTATCTCCGACCGTCAACAAGGCCTAGCCCGCCAGAAAGCGTAAGGCTATTAGGTTTGGGATGCAGATTTCAAAGCCATGAAGGGCTTATAGAAGAACACATTTAACTTGTCCAGCGTCCGTCTATTTTTTGCCAACTAGGACACGATGAGATAATCCAGAATTGCCGGACAATCATACCAAGAAGAGCGCACAGTTACTACCATTATTAATCCATTTCTCTCGATAGACAGCTAGCTGGCAATCTGTGACCTGGCCTCACACATGCTTCTTGGATACGCTGGCTAAAAGCACAAATGCCAGCCGGCGATTGAGCATCTACATCCTTGACTACGTCTGCTACTCCTAACGCATAGGCGACTTCACTCCCTCCTGATCCCAAGTCACCGCGATGGGCTTGTGGTTTCCAGAAAACTTCTGGCCGCCAAACCATAATTCAAAACGGATATCAGCAGGTGCAATAATTACCTTGACATCAAAGTTCAAGATGTAGTAGGTGTGCCCTTTTGAAAAACAGGTTCCTCGTTTGTGTTTCATCACCAGTTGCTGCTGCTGGATACCCGTGAGATTGCTTCTAACATCACATAGCTTGATTGCGCCAGCTGCATGAAAGATCGTCGTAAGTTTTTGACCCAACAATGTTTCAAGTTAGAGGTTTAGACTGTTGGACTTACCATGTTTCATACTCCTGGGCAAAAACGATGGCTCATTATGGGAAATAACAATATTTGCGTCCCATGATCTCTGTGTGTCGCCCTGTGCCAGTGAAATAGCGAACGAGTGTACCACCGACTCGTTGGGGTTGATCGAGTCCCCCTGTCAAATTGTCAGTTTCAAGATCTCCTGAGCCCACTTGCCGGGCAACTCATACTTTACGTATAAGCCACTGTATCTGGTTCATTGCCCACTTCTTATTTGGGTCAAAAGAATCGTTTTTGATGTCCTCGTTGAAGTGATGCTGGGGCGAGTACGCTTGTTTGACTATCACGCCGTAACTAGCTCGAGCAACACGAGAAGCAAGGACAGAAATGGACCCCGTCTCCATCTTCTGTTGACGATCGAGCAGCAAGCCGCGGCAGACTACGAGTTGTGGCTCCGGACAGGTAATCACCGCGACTTGATTCGCATTCTGGTGCGAATAGTTGCGGAACTCGCGCTGTAGGCGATCCCGCACGTACGCCGAGGCACTTAATCCCCCGGAAAGTACCATGAATTTCTATTGGGACAAGGTCAGCGACATTATATTTAACAGGACAAGCGGCACCTTACAATCTTTTGCTGCGGCTGTCGACCTGATAGACTGTCGAGCTGCTCATTGATACACCGTAGAATTCCCTCTATCTGGACGTCGAAGATTCCTTGAATCTCATGCCTATATAAACGATTAGCAAGACCTTAATTTGGGACTCAGATTATCTTACTTAGGAAAATGCATTTTCCCGTCTACTATACCAAGTCCAGCGTGGTTGTAATCATGCGATACGCCATCTAGAGTCAACTTGAAGATCGGGAGCATATAGACGGCCTCCCCAAACTTGTGCTTCATTGTCTTAAAGTACGGGCTTCTTGCTATTCGTTTGGCAAAATCATTAGGTAGTTCAGTGTGAGCATCGGGACACGCGGCCAGGCGTTGGTTGACGAGATTGATAAATGCGACGTCGATGAGTGACGCCCCGATACCGACGCCCAGGACCTGTGAGAGCTGTGACATTTGGGGGTATACGCCATCTGTCGAGGTGATTTGCATAGTAGCAAGGTCCGTCGTACCTCCTCCTGCATCGACGCTGAGGAAGAGGCTCCCAACGGTGAAGTCCACTGGGCACATCTTCAGAGCACAGATCGCTGCTCCTTCGGCTTCAGTCAAGTCAACCTCAGCCGAATGCCGTCGTCCTTCTGTGCCGAAGCCAGCGTCGCGGACGGTCTTTTTGAAAAAGTTGATCGTCTCCATTCTCGTCCAGGTCGTAGGCACACTGAAGAGGAAGGATACGGCCATGTCTTTCCAACCACCGGTGTGACGTTTACCGAGGGCTGTTTCGATGGATTGCTTGACGTGCATGTAGACTTCTTGTAAGTAGTCCGTAACAAGCTTCAGCGCTTCGGCGATATTCCGTGGCGCGTTAGGAATGCCCTGTTGTTGCCATGCTTCTAGCACATCCTTCTCGATCAAGATCTTGAAGAGTTCGCGCCGCACCTTTCCCGGCATTCTCTCTTCTTCATCGTCACACATAAACCCCCATTTTGATATGCTACCATCGGCGTTATATGTAAGGACGGTCGGCACCTTTTTCTCGCCTCGATCACCGCTGCCGGGCCAGTCGCTGATAACCTGAATTGGCTTTTTGGGTATCATCCAGGCCACACCTGATTCCGTCAATTCCAGTTCACGTATTGGAATAGTTCACCAAGCCTGAAATTACCTGTAAAGGTTGTGCCAAAGTCAACCGCAACGAGGACATCCGGCTTTTGTGACATATTGATTGGCGCGCTGATTAGACCTTTTTCTTAAAATCGCCGAAGGGGACTGAGGAACGCCAATGAAAGTGAGCCCAAAGCTTTGCAAACGCAATTGTTGATCACAGAATTCCAGTATTTGCTGCCTTTTTCCCGAAGATGTTGTAAGGTAAAGTGTTGGAAGATGAGGCTTCATGAACGCAGCTGTCTCATGAATTCCATCGGCGATCTTTGTTTAAAACCGACTTGTAGAAGGGACACTGAGATCTCGGCTCACATCGAACGAGCCTATAGAAAGCTGTAGTAGCTCGAGCCCTTGGCTGCGACAAAAGGAGCATAGTCTTGAACTACAAAAGCCTGATCCAGAGCTGCGTGAGGCTTTCTACGTCTGAATCCCTCATTTCGGTTTAGTCGCATCTGAATGCTGATCCATTAACACAGCCTGCTTGTTCCAAGACTTAAAGGCGTCACATGTTTTCGAATATTCATAAGGCTTCCTATGTTCAGCCGTGGCGCCTTGGGCACGAATGCGTCCCTCAGCCGCAAGTTAGTGTTTCCCGGAACCACATTGCAACTGGCCGATATGGAATCTAGACTACATTCGCTGTTAGTTGTATCTAATGAACAAGCAGCCACTTTGTCTATCCCCATTACATTGTCATACATGCCTGCCAAAATGCAATTTGTGAATATCCCTCCAGAAACATTACTGGCGTTGACGTTGCCATTGGGGGGTTGGTGCATAGAGATAAAGAGCCTCCTCCTAGGACTTTTCTCCTTTCTCAATATGTATATGGGACACCTCAGATAGAAATCCCTCAGTGAATCTTACATCTGAACTTTTTTTAATCGACATAATCGAATGAAGTCGTGCCTTCACACCCGTCTGCTTATCTCTTGTAGTTGTCTTTCTACTTACTTGCATCGGACACCAAAATGCCAGCACCAGAACATCCCGCACAACAAGATCCCGAAAAACAAAGTATGGTATCACAAGCCAATGGATCTACAGATATTTCCACTTCCTCTTCAGAAGTCTCCTCATTATCAAATACCAGTCATCCAAGGACTGCGACGGCAGCATCAAGTCAAACGGTACAGCCTTCAGAGGTTTCGTCAGGAGGTGTTGATGGTCCCGCTGTTGCCGGTCCCGCTGTTGCCGGTCCCGCTGTTGCCGGTGCCGCTGTAGGCTGCCTCGTTGCTGGCCTTCTGATCGGCTTTGTTGCTGCATTCTTCCTACTGCGTCGAAAGTATCATAGGACCGCGAAGAACAGTTCGTTTAGGCCTGAAATGCAGCACATAGCCGTCAATGCAGATTCCAAGGCTTTTGGATCTTCACCAACGGCCACCCATAACAATGAAATTCAACTGGACCAATTCCTTCTCGACCTTACCCCTGACAAAGAGATTGCTAGTGAGCTTCACGCTTTGAGCGAGCTTGTTTGTCAGCATGTTGATAACCACTATCACCGGATGCCTGTGCAGGCCAATTCTCAATCTCTCGTGGGAAGCCTTCTGAATATCGGCATTGGAGACAATCCAAAGCAGATAAGTGCGGACCAAGTCGCTGCACTCTGTGTTGATCCGCAGACTAGGCAAATCGGTCTCAAATATGTCATATCCCATGCAGTGTTTGTCACCGTCGACTTCAACGCCCGGAGCCGCTTCTCACTGCTCCCACCACCAGTGGCCTTTTTTCTCCAGTCTATGCCACCGGTGGAAACGCGCGGAGGCGATAACGAGGGTAAGTTATTCTTCACATCACACTTGAGTGTTTTGACTGCTCAACTTAAACCTCACAGTAACTGCGTTCGCGCTGTCGAAATGGCGCACTTTATCTGCCTTCCTCCTTCATCCAAGCCGCAGTCAGCGCATTCATCTTTCGCCGGTCGAGTCAGAGATTGCTCCCAGGGCACACAGCCTTGCCACCGCGCTTAACGCATACCTTCACCACTTCGTTCCCGCTGATCAAGGGAGCCAGAGCCAGCAGCTGGAACACCTGAAAGCTGTAATTATGGAATGTGCAAGGTTTGGCTATGAACTTTTGTCCCAGCCTCGTGAATGGCATTTCATCTACCAGGCTGAGGATGCAGGTACATCAGGACAGCGAGCCGTTGTCGTGTGCCCAGGCTTGGAAAAGATGGGCAATAGTGATAGAATTGGTTCCGATGGTCTTACCCATGTAGTAGCGCCTCTTGTCGCTCAGGTTTCTGACCGACGCAGACAAAATCGGTAGATTCTGTCTGTTAGGGCGAAATCAGGCAAGCTTTATACGGTTCAGCGGGAGAGTACACAATGGCACAGGATTTTAAGAAGTAGCAAAACAGTAGTAACACGGATCTTTGGTGATAATTCTGTCTATCTCATCTTGAGAACATGCCTATAGCTTGTTTGATTTTGCACAAATATTCTGCACCTCAGCCCCGACTGATATTTTTGCTCTGGAGATGACACTTTCTCATCTGGAGGCATGTCTCTCTCTTCATGCAAATACTGTGAGGCAGCTAATGTCTGCACCATGTTCTTGAATCCAGTCTAATCTTCACACATTCCTGGGGCAGAGCCTTCGAGCTCCGCCTACTAACCTACTGTGATGTTGTGAACATTAATGGCTTGATGATACAAGTATCACAGGAGATTTTCAGAGAAAATCCAAGAATGCCGAGAAGCATTACAACTTTGAATGAAATGTCATCTTATGGCTAGATCATCTCTGCGTACTTGAGACTTTCAGTTGAAGGGCTTATTGAGCAGAGAATGCCGCATCCAGACATAATGAAAACGGCCCTGATCCACTTTCCTGGATCCACATCTCACCTGATAAAACTGAAACATTGTTGGATATACTAAGACGTATGCGGTGAAATAGTCTCGGGTCAGAGTAAAGAAATTTGATCTGTGGTTTACCTACTTCGTCGGCCACCCTTCAACACCATGTTCAACCCAGTTGAGAGAATGATAGCTGATACGGCCATGCCAGCAGCCTCACGAGCTCGTCTACGGGCCATCACAAGAACCAATTGCCGCTCGTTTTAGAGAGTGTCTCCACTCGTTGGGCTGCTTCGGCCAGCAGAGACTAAGACGTTCATGTATCACGCCTTCAGCTCCCTTTGGTGTGGCTGAATAGACAAAGCGGCTTGGGGGTTTCGGCTCATGCCAGCATGGTCTTTTACTCCCACGTTCATTCCTGCCATAAATTCCCCGTAACTGGACTTACCCCCTGGGATAGGCTTTCCTTTGAACGCGTTCTCAAAGTAACGTCCCACACCCACTTCTGGGCACCCCCCACATTTGGGCACCCCATTTACACCAAAAACGCCGTTTTTCGAAATTCTATATTAAACTAAATACTTTACTTATTAAAGAGAATAAATATATGTTAAATAGATTAAGACTTAATTATAATACTTAAGTAGCTATATACTAGTATTATTAATAATAAGTATTATAAATTCAAGGTTTAACATTTATAATACTAATTTACCTAGCCTATATCTTAATATATAAAATAGGTAGAGATATTTAACTAATATGATTAGAATTTTTAAGTAAGATATAGTAGATTTATATATTCTTATACTTAGTAAAAAATTCTTTAAGCTTAGAATAATATTTTAAAATTTCCCTTAAGAAAAGTTTCTATTATAGAATTTTAACCCTTAATTATACTATATTTACTAAAGTAATACTTTTAAATCTCTTTTAGATATAATTATATAACGTACATGATAAGCGAGTGAGACAGACAAGCGAGTGAGACAGTAAACCAGACCTTCGCGACAATAATATCGAAATCTATAACAAGAAATCTTAGATTGATTAATACTACTCGGATTCCTGTTCTTCGGATGTTTCCTCAATAAATTGACATGTTCTCGCGTTGTGGCCTGTATTCCCGCATACGCCACACCGACGATGAGTCGTCTCAGACCTCACTTTGCGACCACTACTCCGTCGCGTTTCCTCTTGTAGTTGCGTGTCTGCCTCTCTTTGCGACTGTATATCCTCTCCAGTAGATATAGTAAGACTTCCTCCTTTCTGTAGACGTGTTTTCTTAGCCCTTCGACGCCGACTTAATATTGCATTCTCCTCTCGAAGGATTTGAACCTCTGACTCTAGTAATGCTACCCGATGCCCTAGTCCTTCTGTCCCTCTGGCTAGCTTACTCACAGCACTATAAATTGATGCTGGAGAGCTGCTTCGGTGGCGTGAGATTCGACTCTTAATAAAAGTAGACTGTGATCTTGCTTCGCTTGGGTTGCTCGGCGTCCTAGAGATCCAAGGGTCTGGTGTCTGAGGGACCCCCTCCTCAGGCGTTGGCGTTCGGAACTTTACATCCAGCTTTGAGAGAACACTTTCTGCATTCAAAGGGACAAGTCCAGCTCCTCGGAAACCTCCCTGGATATTTTTCCTCGTAAAAGACTGCTTAAAAGCTTCGTGAAATGCTGCAAAGAAATCTTCCTTCGAGATATGGGTTGTGCCTCGCCGCATCTTATTCTCAATTTGCCGACCGTAGGCATTCTTTAACGGCTGAAAACAACCAACATCTAAGGGTTGAAGTAGATGAGACGAGTGAGCCGGCATGCACAGTGTAATAATGTTGTTTTCTTGACAAAAGAGCTCGAAGGCTGCGGAGTGGTGACTTTCATGACCATCAACAACGAGGAGGCGATATTTCCCAGACGTACGTGGTTTTGTATAAATGTCGAAGTGTCTGATCCAGTCAATACCTCTCTCGTTTGTTGTCCATCCATTTTCAGACGTTGCAATAGCCCAATCGCCCGGAAGAGAGGTTTCTGTATACCAGCTTGAGAGGTGATACTGGCCTGCAACGATGATGTATGGCGGGATGCTCTCCCCTTGGGAATTAATAGCCTGGATAACTGTAACCCATTCCCTATTGCCAGGCTGTGTCATCTTCGTATTTGAACGCCTTTCAGCACTTGTAACAACCATTCCAGAAGCAATAACGCCCATCATAAAGCCGGTCTCATCAAAGTTGTAGATATCAGCATCAGCAATACCATACTTCGCAATTGTATTCTTCACAAGCGAAAACCAGCCACGAATCACCTCTGGATCTTCGCATTGAGCTCTCTTATAGTCATACTTGCGAAAGAAACGCGTCCTAAGCTGTGGTTGTCGCTTGACGAAATTAGAAGCCCAGCGCTTCCCAACTGGAGGCGCGTCGCGCTCTGCGAGAAGTCGATTGGCCATTTCTTCCACACCACTCAGCCGGGGAGGAAATGATCGCGCATCTAGGTCGAGAATATACTCAACTATTGTCTTCTCTTCTAAATCTGATAAATTCCGTGAATTAGGCATGCTGTCGCGTCGTGAGACTATTCCCTTTAGTCGCCGGCTTAATGTTGCGTGACTGACTGTATAGAGTGCACCTGCGGCCCGAGCACTAAGTTTTGGGTCATTTCTCATTGCTTGAAGGGCAATTTGTAACCTTCTTTCAATACTAGCTGATTCCATGATTTATTGTAGAGGAAAAGGTGCCGGTCGCGTCAAGGTGCGACGGTCGCGGTTTACTGTCTCACTCGCTTGTCTGTCTCACTCGCTTATCATGTACGTTACTTTTAATAAGTATAAATATTAATTTCCTAGATTTTTTAAATAAGTATATATAAGCGAAAATATATTTTTCTAATGTTAAGGAATACTAGTAAGTTACTAGTATCTACTAACATTTTAAAGCTTTTAGTTTTAAACTTCTATATTATAACTATTATTATATTTAAACCTTTATAAAAAATTAGATGGCTATAATTATACTTAACATAGTTTATATATATTTTCTTTTCTTAGTAAGTATAGTAGTTAGTTTAATATAGAATTTCGAAAAACGGCGTTTTTGGTGTAAATGGGGTGCCCAAATGTGGGGGGTGCCCAGAAGTGGGTGTGGGACGTTATGTGACATTACTATGTCTTCTAAGTGCGCTAAACGTATTGTTACATCGTTGCCTCACTGAAAAGAGCTGTTCGTTTTCCCCGGGTTAAGAATGGAGTGCAAAATGCAAGGCAAATTGTAGTCCGAAGAGTTTTCAACGTCTTTTTGGTTAAAGCTGATCAGATGCCCACGCCAGACGCTGGCCTGTCCGAACAAAAGCCTGTGACCAGCTGCAGCCATAGAATGTAGTCCTAGCCCGCAAACGGTTACCCCAGGCTACCCGCTAAAGCTAAAATCGTCGTTCTGGCAATCCTCTCCCCCATAGAGGCCTCCGCCAGGGTCTGAAATCATGGAAGCGTGGTTTTTATGAGGACCCAGGGCATTCGCTAACCAGTGTCTCATGGCTGTCTCCCATTGAGCGTTTTTATATCTGCACCTGGCGATGCCGCTTTACAATTTTAATGCACTTGGTCTCCAAATCACAGTAAAGAAAACTCAGGGATGGATCCTTTTACCGCTTCCTTTGGTGTGTTCAATGCTACCTACCACGCCGTCCTCTTCAGCATCGATGTCGACCAAGTCCCCTCCCGTGTGCGTCGGAACCTCGAACTCGTTCAAAGATGTCATCGAGATTTGCAACACCTCATTGAGATACGAAATGAATGCCTTCCGATCCTTGAAAAGACGACTATAGTCTTAAATCGTGTCAACGAAATAATTGAGGCGGCAAACCAGGGCCTCGTTGAGGTCTGCGAACTTGTCGAGAAGTGTCGACCGGATGCCTACAATGGCAAAATCCCTTTGAGAAACAGACTAGAATGGGTCTTGTTCGATTCAAAAGAGTTCACAGCGCAGGAACCAGTAATCAGTCGCCATCATGCTTCTGTACTGTCAGAGATGAACTTCTTGCGACAAATGGCACTTCTAGCTCCTCAAATGCAACAGCAGAAGACTGTGCCCACAAGCGAAATCAGGGAAAAGACTAAAATATTCGATAACGTCGCCTTGCTGGGTAGCTTAATGGGACAAATGGCTCTCTCAGGTACTCCCTACCATTCCAAGAACGCTGTTCCTTAACTGGCACTGATATCAGGTACCTTAGGAGGAAGCCCACAAAACCATTCACCTTCTCAATCGAAGGAAAACAAATCTGCGTCACAGATTCCCCACGATTCGAGACCGGCTGAGTCTCCGCGAGCATGTTGTCCACCTCAGCAGCCAGTACATAAAACAAACTTGACACACACAAAAGCTTCACACGTAAACAGCTTGAATCCTAAAATTATACCTCATACTTCATCGCACGAATATAAGGCCTCATATGACCCATCTTTAAGGCCACACAAATCAACGCAACCTTTGGTTCAACCGCGGCTCCAGAGTCCAGCATTAGACCATAGTTACAACACCAGTCTGGAGGGCTCTCAGTCATCGTTTGATCTTCAACGACAGTCATACTTGCATGCAAACCAAGGAGAGCATAACTTGATTGGAACCTCGGTAAACTGTTATACTCGCCATGAGGCGTCTATTCCACACTCTTACGGTTCTGATCCTTCACGCCAAATCGCACCAACGTCTCCTTCGACTCCATCTATAAACAGACCTCGAGAATCTATCAGTTGGAGAAACTTGCCTATGACATCTGAACAGGCCAAAAATATGAATCAGCCCGCGAAGGGAAACTTTGGACCACACTCACACGTGTCCCAATATGTCCACGGGGCAGAAGCATCGCGACCAACCCCCGGCGAAACAACTCCTTTCAACCAGAAATACGCTAAGCCCCAAGAGAAAATCCTTGAGATACCATATCTCCAATCTAGATCAGTAATTTTATCAGAGAATGGCTGGGCTTCCCCAGAGCGTACACACGTTTGGGCAAGTCCAATCCAATCGAACGCAACTTGGGACACTGATTCCTCCACATTGGAAAGCCCTTCCCCAACTTTTACGGCGTTTGATGGAATGTCGACTGTAACCCTTAACACAATACAAAACGAGGCTACTTCTTCCTATGACCACAGTTTCGACAGGTCAAAGTCTTTCAATCAATCTACACATACCAGTATCCCGAGAGATGTGCGCGCCCAACAACAAACACCGATGCCTAATCTAGCAGAGCCACTAAACCGATGGCAACCAACAGAACATGAAAACGTTGCTCAGCCATCACTTCCACGATCGCAAAGTGTGTCAACTCGTCCGGCCCTCGTTTTCGGTTCAGCATTCGACGGCTTATACTCAAGCCGGATTAACAATCCGGTAGAGCCTTCATTGAGGAGATCACAATCTGAAGTTCAGAGGCCGTTCCATACCTATGAAACGGATCAATTTGTAGTGATCGGAAGTGTGCCGGATTTTCTCGGACGCAACAATGAGAGGCACTCCAGTGTCTACGCAGACTCGGCACACTATAAACCCACAGGAGCAGTTCATGTATATGAGGTGGATTCTACCCCGACTGTAAAGAGAATCCCTGAACTTCCGTGAAAAAGGAAGGTTTTTGGCGGGCCCTTGTATCGCTCATTACCAGAAAGTGGTCGTGGAAGCCATGGATTTCACTGCAGGCGGCTGAATTTCGCACCAGAGTTTCTTTCTTCTGTATAGGTAGTAGAGAAGTACGTCTGCGCCCTCAAACTAATTCATACATTGGCGCAACTCTTTCATGAATCCAAGACCATTCTGGCCCTTGGCAAGTCCAAACTCGGCTTCGCTGATACCAACTTTCTTATTTGTCTCGTGGTGCCTACCTCACTTAGTATCTTAACTCGTGATGGGGGACATAGATCATCTTTCCTAGTCATGAAAGTACCAGTACTCAGATGGGTCAGCTCCGTCAGATCCGGTGGCGGTTGTCCCGATGTGAATTTCATACTTGGCATTACTAAATAGATCATCAAGGGCACAATTGATCTTCTGTTTTTGTTATTCCATGTCTCAGACTGGAATAGGCGCCATGATCTTTGATTTTGCTTTAATCATGGATGCCGACAGATTAAGCGGATCCGGCAGAAACGTGATCGAGAACCGCGGCGCCGAGCGATTAAGTAGTGCCAGAAAAGACAAAGCGCTTTTAGCCGCAGTGTGCGACTTGTCATTTAAAGAGCCGTTATTGGCTTGCGTAAGTTATTGCCGACTACAACTTCCGTTTGCCTCGGATCGGATCGATGAAAGAGGCGAGCGGGTCGGGAGAGGCATGGTTTGTGGCACTTCTGTCGCCAAACTCTAATTGTTCTGTCCTTCAGCGGCCTGATCAATCCTCTCAAGGCTATGAGCTAATTAAGTACAATGCAGCCGAGCTAACCATATCGAATCTGATCGGATCGCTATTTTCATCGATCACGGACTATCTGCGTTCCTTGAGTTTCCTATATTCTTCTCGGAATTTTAACGCTTCAATGCTCATGGGCAACTGCATAGATGAGCGGCCGTTACGCGACGTTGTAGCTGTAGAGGTGTTCCAGCCCACCACGGTGCTCAAGTATTCTCAAGTCACTCGCCGCCTTCAGGTCGCGCAACCTGGTTTAGGAAAGGTTTCAATTGAATGTGTTAGAGCCCGTGAGTTGCTGCCCTAATGAACGGAAACCTATCTGTTGACTAGAACATCAGGGCTACGCTATGTTTGGAAGTACTAATGACAAAATGAATGACGGAAATAAGGACGATAATAAAACAACATTAACAAACAAAAGATCTTGATCTTACTTGATTTTTGTTGTAAAGTGTTGTCGTATCTCGACTTATGAGATTTGTGAGATCTACTTTAGAGAGTATTAGAGCGTCAGAGCGTCTCGGAGCAAAGTTTTGTATCATCTGGTACAGAATGATAGTCACTGCAGAGAGAAAAACATCAATGTGAAAGCGTCGCAAAAATCCAAGAAATCAAATTCAACAGGTAGACAAGCCGTTGAAAAGTACCATATGCAAGCCCATGATTATTCGTTTTTTCTTCCCCTGTTATATAAGTATAATATATCGGAGACTATGGAGACACTGCATCTTTGTAAATTCAGGTGGTGAACAACCTGCTTCTGCCTGCAAGTGTTATTATATATGAGGATCAATAAATTGCCGCCTAAACGGGAAGTCACAGGTTGAAAAAATCATTTGCCAAACCTTCCAGTTTGCTCATGTTGATTTAATCAATTTCTTTACCTTCAAGTCTAACTACCGCGTTGTCAAATAAGGCCCTTCTTCCCCTCCCAAAGCAAACAATCTGTCGTTTCTTCGATTGGCACAGTTGACTTTGCTTTCTCACCTCCAACACCTCGTATATTAATCTCCTCGGATATTCAAGAATTGGAAAAGAACATCAAACAAGGCGATTGGGAATTTGTGCCTTCCGCCTCAAAATATTGTTAATCGCAGTCGATATTGTCGGAACTGCACGCTGAGGATCATCAAGCCATTCCAGTCACTTACACGGAAAGGGTTCTTGGGTGACTCCAGGCCAAGCGCCGCTATGTTCACCCCACCGCGTCACCTGTCCCCACTTCCCTCCACCACTCTTTTTACCAACGTGGAACCGCGCTTTCGCGTGAGGGACCGCCGCGCCAACTAACGGCATTGAGCAATGCGTCGATCAGCGAACTGCAACGGAACCCCGTCACCGCACAGCAATCGCCGACTGCGAAAACACGACTGTCCAATATTGTTGCCCTGATAAAACAGAGTGATAACCAGAAGGGACAGACTTCCACGATGGCCTTGGCCTTACTAGGCTTGGCGCCATCGTCCTACGACAACGCGCCGGGCAACAATTTCTCCATCGCGAAACCCGAAGACCTTCCCGCCCAGTTGCGCCAAACCCTCGAGTCCAAGCAGACACCGACCCGATGCGAGCACTTGTCCTTAGTTCTCGAGATTCCTCCGACCGTAGAATTTGCAATCCAGGAGAGCAATGGAGATGCCCAGGAGAACATCGACCCGGCTATGGGCAGCCCCGGTCCCGACACCGTCAACGACCAGCCGGCAAAGATCGTGCGTGCATATGAAGTAATCATAAACCAACCACGAGACTCTTCAGATATGCAGCAAGCAGTCGCAAAGAATATAGTCGAGTTGGTGTCGGCGGTGGATGAGAGCACATGGATCGTCAGAGAAGTCTCGCGAGGTCAGCATGGTTGGGCTATCACGTACATGTGTAAAGACTCAGTTGCCATGTGGAATCGTCAGCACGCGAAAGCTGTGTCAAGATCGATCATAGGAGAATACAGTCAGAAGGAGCTGGATCCCATTGTTACAGGTACGCTTGTCTTCTCCATCAAGCTACGGCGCATTTAGCTGACAGCTTCACTAGGCCGACCGGCTTTCGATTGCCGTGGTACCCTTACCATACTGTTCTCGAAGAACTCACGAACGATCAATGTCAAGTACGAGCACACACCGCTGCACAAGACTGTTGGAGAGATGATTCAGCATTTCCGACCACTCCCTCCTGCCGCACCCCCTGTGCCATTGATTCCAGCCAGTAACAAGCCAAGGAAGACCCCGAGAAAGCGGAAAGCCGAAACAAATGAAGATGGGACGCCAGTTCAGCCCAAACCAAAAAGAAAGAAGAAATCTCAAGCCGCAGAGGCTGTTGCAGAGGCGTCTACTGACATCCCAGCAGCTGACACGGATAGCCAGGCAGCTACCGTGCCGACCAAGGCAGACGCTGCGGTGCAGAGTGGTATCCATGCTCAGGCAGTACTAAACGTACCTCCGGCAGAAGCGGAGAGGCGCCGTGAGGCTGCTATCCGGCTTCTGAGCGAAAGCGGCGTGGATCCCGCGACTCTTTCAACGGAACAGTTCGGCATTTTCGCTAACCAGTCCCCGGAGCTCCAAAAGGACTCACTGGAAATGCTCGTTAAGTACGGTGCCGAGAGATTGCGCATTGTTCACCCCAGTGATGCTGCTGCCTCGTCGTCAAATAGTGCATCTCCTGTGCCACGGAAAGCGTCAGCGCATGGAGATGAGGCTAGTTCCGCGCCAGCAGCCTCTCAACAACTCTCTCAGGGGAAGGGGGAGACTCAAAAGTCCAAGGCAGTTGTTCTGGACGGCGAAACAGACGAAAGATGGGTTCCCGCCCCTGCTGGCACGCCCTTGAAAGATATTTCTCGAGGCTCTTGCATAGCATGCAGGATCAGTAGAGCCAAGGTTAGTGGAGCCGCGATTATAGTGATCAGCTAACTAACAAAGTACAGTGTAATCGGAGCAAGCCAACCTGCGATGTATGCGAGGAGCAGAGTCTTAACTGCCAGTATCCTCTCGTTAAGAAACAGGCGCCACGGAAGAAGTCGAAAGCTCAAGACATCGACAACGACGACGTCGAGGCAGAAGACGCTGATGTCGAAGTCGACGCTGAAGATGATGGTGATGCAGAGCCTCAGCCTGACCCTGCAGCAGAGACCGAGGAAGAGCACGAACCCGACGATATTGAGACGATTGATTACACGTCGAATATGCCTGTCGCTAATATGCTCACTCCTGCCACCGGGCCTACGAACCAAGATTACTTTAGCTCCAATCCAAGCAACCCTGCATACGCACAGTCTTCTTCGAATGACTTGAGCATGTCTCATGACGCCCACGTGTATCCTGAGCCTCCAGCTACTGCGACATTAACGGCGCAGCAGCCGACAACTATGAGTTATGCACAGCCTTCGCTCTCCGATACGACGGACTATGCAAACCGAAATGCGGACATAACAGCTTATGCTCAGCCTGCCGTTGTCGAGACCGAAGATTCCACGCAACCCTCATCTAGAAGCCCCAACGCTTCCCGAACCTCTAGGGCGGGTTCTGGTATGCGGCGCAACCTGCCGTCTGGGCAGCCTCAGAACTCTGGCAACGACCACCATGACCCTCTACATAGCCATGCCCAGGGCTGGCAGAGTACGTCGCCGACTATGACTTCTAGGCAACCGCAATCACGACAAAGCACACAAACCCCAACCCAGGCCTCTATGCTTTCACAACAGCCCGCGTACGATACAGTTCAGCAAGTTGCTGCCCGGGCCGCCATTCAGCAGCAGCACCTGCAGCATCGAGTGTCTCCAGCGACCCAAGTCTCCCAACCGACACAAACACAAGCCTCCCCGTTCCAAGCCCCGGTGCAAGCAGCCCGGGCCAAGAGTCAGGCAGGACATAGAGCGTCAAACCAGACCCCCATTAAGAACAGCGGGCCACAAACGACTCCTTCACATCACACAGTGCAACCAAACACGACTGTAGATCCCTCGACATACCGCAGCACTCAGTCGATGGGCAGATCGACCGACTACGCCGCATACAACACGAAATACACAAGCGCAAATAACGCTGCAAGGGCAGGCACAAGGGTCTCGTACGAGCCCCAAGCAACGCCAACAACGGCAGCGACCAACTCCACATACCCGTCTTACGCCAACAATCGAAGCAACGATTCAATTCAAAACACGAACATCGCATATACCCCAAGCAACAACTCTCGGTCCGGGCAATACCAATCCCACAATACTCAGCATTACCAGAAAACAGACTCTCAGAGTACATCGTCCTCTAATCAACCGCCACCGGCCGCTCTTCAACAAAACGAAGCGCTGCAATCGTTCAACATGCGTACCTCTGTATCTAATTCTAATCAATCATCAGCAAAATACCAGCAGCAGCAGCCGCAGCCTCAGCCACAGCAGATGCAGTCGTACAACTCTTACTCATCGCAAGTTGAACAAAACATGCCCCAAGCTGACCAGCACAATTGGTATGGGTTCGGTTCTAACACAACCTCGTTCACACCGTCCAGCAACTCGGGAGGCTACGCTGCTAGAGGCAACCCGTCCAGCAACTACGGGGGCGGTGTTTCCAACTCTAACCAGGGATACCATCAGCAACATCATCACAACGCCCTCAATATATCGGGCGATAACTACACTGGTGGCGAAGGAGACATGTACGAGCTACTAAAGCTCCAAGGCTCTGGGCGCTGAGTCTGGCCTATACGCAAGGGAATCCATACCCAACATCACCTTGCACATATTGTGGGCGAAACCAGCACAGAACGCTCAGAATGGGAAAAGTGGTGTTGTTGGTTGGAAGAACTAACTAACTGGCTAGAGGGCTGTGGAGGCTGGCTAAGACCAGTGGTGGCGGCCGTCAGCCCACGTGACGGGCCGGCGAGGCCTGCCACCCACACCCCCTCTCAGACTCCTCAGCGAAAAAGCAGTAGAATAATAGGAAATACAGGAAAAGTCCCAAATCCTCCAAATCCGAGGAGTTCTCAACTATTAGAAAACTCGGTCAATTATCGGTTAAACCTGGCCAATAGGAGGCCGTGAAATCCTCCGAATCCCGAAGTCTCAATATCAATAGTCCCACAGTCTCAAAATCCCCCTCTCAATCCAATCCCTCCGCCATGCCCAACAAACGAACGAATTCCTTGTGTTTGACCGCAACCAGTGGCTTCGTGAGTCCATCGGCGGCCATATCAGCGCCCTTGATGAGTCGGAGTTCGATGCTTTTCGCAGTGTGAACCTCCTGTATGATCCATTTGTATCGGACGTCGATGTGGCGGGTTCGTGCCTCGTTGAGTGGGTTCATGACGTTGTCGTAACCGTTGGCACTGTCAGTGAACATGATAGTAGGCGTGGTGATGGGTTTGCCGAGCAGTTGGGAGAGGCAACGTCTGATCCACTTCACAGCAATTGCCGTAGGTGTGAGATTGATGAATTCAGCCTCCGTGGTGCTCAAAGTCACGAAAGTCTGTTTCTTTGACTTCCAAGCAATCGGCGCACCAGCGAGGAAGACGACGTAACCACCTGTCGAGACTCGTGATGGCTTGTTGTCAGCGAAAGAGGCATCTGCAGCAGCGTAGAGCCCCAACTCGTTGATCGTGGGGATGCCTCCAAGTACAATACCGAGATAAACGGTGCCCTTGAGGTATCGGAATAAGTGCTTAATAGCACGAAGATGGGCCTTAGAAGGCCCTGAATTCGCCTGTGACAATTTACTGACGGTGTAGGCCATGTCAACGCGAGTTCCAGCCACCAGGAAGTTAAGGCAGCCGGTTTGTTCGATGTAAAGTTGTTGTTCGTCAAGCGAGCACTCGTTCTTGTCCCAGGTGACGGGCAGATCGTCAGTGGTCGCCATAGGCGTCTTGACAGCACTCAAACCATCAAAGTCGAATCGTTGAAGCACTGCTTTTGCGTACTTGGCTTGGGAAACGAAAATCTTACCGGCAGCTCTGTCGCGTTCAATCTGGAAACCGAGAAAATCGGTAGCCTCGCCGAGGTCTTTAAGAGAACAGACCTTCTCGAGGAGACGACGAACTTCCATCATGACTTGCTTGTTGGGAGCGGCGATGGCGTTGTCGTCGACGTACATAAGAACGTACGCTTTAATCTTGTGATTGACGAAGAGACAAACCTCCCCATCAACAGCAGTGAAGCCAATTCGTTCCATTTCACCCTTGATAAGTCGAAACCACCAAAGTGGTGATTTTCTCAATCCATAGAGTGCCTTGTGGAGCAGCCAAACCTTGTTGTCTGCAGTGGCGTAGCCAGCGGGGGGCCGGACGTACACCTTAACCCCCTCTGGAATCGAGGCGGCTAGGAAAGCAGTGTCGAAATCATATACTTCGTATTCAAGATCGAGAAGTGCGACAACTGCGAAGAAAAGGCGGGTTGCGGTGGCAGAGGCAACTGCAGCGTAAACCTCTTGCGATGACCAGTCACCTTTCTCGTGGTTTCCACAAACCACATATCGGGCCTTGTAGCGCACGATTTCGTTGTTTTTGTTGGTTTTGATGTCACATACCCACTTGCCGGGCAGGACTTTAGCGTCACGTGGTGGGTAAACGACTTCGTAAACCCCCTTTTCCGTGAATTGAGTCATCTCTCGTTCGAAGGCTTGTTCCCACTGGGGCCACTGTGGGCTCTTCTGCGCCTCACGGTAGGACTTCGGGATCACCACGCCGTCGGGTAGGACTTTCGAAAGGGCAGTAGCAGAAAGCACGCTGAGAGAGAATTGACGAGAAGTTAGTGAAGCTGGAATGTCAGCAGATAGAAAAGTCTTTTTAGCATAGGAGCGTACGCCACTGGCGGCTCGGTAGTGACCAGGTGGTCGCTGGGCTGAGGCGCGGCGAGGTCGAGAGGACTCTGCCGGTTGACTCGTTGCTTCCTCAACAATCGTGGAGAGGGAATCAGGGTCCTGGTGATCAGTTTCCATTGTTTCCACGGAAGCGACGAATTCGTCATCATTCAATTCGTTAGTAATGCTGTCACGAGGTGTAGCAGTGGTCTCCAACAGGTTCTCTGGTGGCGGAGACATGAGATGTGTATCAGTGGGTGCCATCGCTTTTTCAACGATGGTCTCATCTGGTTTGGGATCACCAGTCACGGGTTTTTCACCTTCAATAGGCTTCTGACGGATGGTGTACTGGATGATGATATCTGGTTCGACAAACGCAGCATCATGTTCAATTTCATCAATGTTGGGTGTGCCAGTAGTTGGAGGCAACACTGTCTTGTGCGGTTCCTCACGAAATCGAACATCTCTGCAGCGAATAACCTCCTTTCGATCAGGCAGGTAAACGTAGTAAATGTGGCCACGAAGAGAACCGTAACCGACGAGGAATCCCTTGATTGCTCGTGGTTCCATCTTGGCAGAGCGCATAGGGCGTCGAGGGCCCTTCTTGTGTACGTAGGCAGCACAGCCAAACGTTCGGAGATGTTCAATGTGGGGGGCCTCACGTTCAGCAGCCAAGTTCAGCTCTCTCGCCATGATCTCGTGAGGGCTCAAGTTACCCTTGGAGGGTGTGGGCAAGAGGTTGAGAATCTGAGTCACCGAATCGATGCTGTAATCCCACAGTTCCTCTGGAAGGGACATGTCAATCAGCTGTGTCCGGGCGCCTTCGACGATGGTACGACCAGCACGCTCAATAGTACCGTTCATGGAAGGCGTGTAGGCAATAGTCGTGTTGTGGCGAGTACCCTCGAAGTAGGGGTCGTTGAAAACCTTGATTAGCTCGGGAGCATTGTCAGAAACCCAAACCTTGGGCTTGAGGCCGGTGAGACTGTAGAATTCAGTATCCCATTTCTTGATAGCTGCCAGGATGGTGGCAAACTTGTGGTTGGGCAGAAAAACAACCCAGTGGTAACCACTATACTTATCCATGAGGTGTAGAACCTGACGGTTCCCTTTTGTTGATAGGGGAAGAACACCAACGAGATCAAGGTGAATTTCATCGCCAATACTCGTAAGTGGAAGTGGGTGGTCTCGACTAATCCGTTCAGTGGATTTGCTGAGATGGCAAGACTCACAGAAGAAAGCGTCAATTTCTGACGTTGTGAACCGAATGCCAACACGGCGGCAAGCCTCCACAACACGTGATGGGTGGGCGTGAACCAGCCGGCGGTGCATCAGTTCAAGAGACGGTCGCTGGGTAGCCCGGAAGGCGGCGAGGCTGACAGCAATATCTCGAGGCACGTGATTTCCAGTATCATGAGTCTCAACGACGCAGACGTCAGAAACCCAATGAACTTTGGCAAGGGAAGTGCGCTGTGTCACGTGTATGAGGCTTGAGGTCTGCCAATCATATTCCACGTGATCACGACGAAGTTTTCCAGGGCTCAGTAAGTTGGCTGGGCTGGAAGGGTTGTACTCAACGTTGTGAAGTGTCCAATCGTGAATAACGTCAGGGTTGGTGGGGTCTTGGGTCTGGAAGAAGACGGTGCCCACGCCAAGTGACCGGACTGGGGCGCCGGAGGCAGAAGTGGAAGGTGTCAAATCGCTCTTTTCAGCGTACTTGACGAAATATCGCAAGTTGTTGAAGGTTGAAGTAGTACAACCAGAATCGAGAACGATATCGTCTCGGGTGATGAGGTCATCGCGGGCAGCAGTGAAAACTGCTGGGCTGGCGATGGAGGCAAGGGCAGACTGACCCAAGATGGCAGGTGACGCTCTGACAACAGTCTGGCGGGTGCCATCAACAGAAGTAGGCTGATCCCAGCGGCAGCGATCGCCACACACGTGCTTTCTCGCTTTTTCAATCAACTTATCCCGGTTGACGTAGTGTAGAGGGATGAGATTGGGGTGGGCGACATAGCACTTTGTGGTCTCGTGATCACAGTTGCAGTGGTCGCACTTCTTCTTTTCCTTGGAGGCAGTGACAGTGGAGGTGACGGTGGTGGTGACGGCTGGAGAGGCAGGACCCCCACTGCCAGCAGACTTGCCTCCAGGTGTGTTGCGAATAGTGGCATAACTGCGCTTTTGATCCTCGTCTTGGGCAAGCGTGTAAATCGTATCAGCCACCTCATTCCACGTGGGATGGGTGGCGCCCTTCGATGTGAAATGCTTGTACGTATCGGGAAGTCGGTCCTTAAAGAAGTTAAGGAGGAAAACAGCGAGGAAGGAGTCTGGCAGACGACCGTGAATGGTCTCAATACGCTTTCTGAGGTGGTGACAGCGATTGAGGGCATCGTGAAGAGTCTTGTGATCGTTGGCGGTGGTCTTGGCAAACTCGTCAACAAGGGCAGCTGTGGCGTCTTGTGAGATTCTCGGAATGTGCTTCTCGAGCGCCTGCCACAATTCGTAAGGGTTTCCATCGTCAACCCAACCCGCTGTGCAGAGTCTGTCAAGAACCGATTCGCTGGCGTTCATGAGGAGACCATTCGTGACGTTACGGTTCTTTCTCCATTCCTCTGCAGCGATAGGGTCAGCAGGGCGAGGGACGTCAGTCTCGAGGAATATCTCGAAGTCGTATCCTCGCAGGGTCGCTGTAACAAGCATGCGCCATGTGTTCCAGTTGGATTCACCTTTCAGGCGAGGAAGAGGCGTGAAGACGGTCTTGAAGTCGTTTTGAGACATCTTGAAGTGAAAGTGAGGGTATCACAACAGTGCGGGACAGACTTATAGTCGCACCTCGATCACAGGCGTTTCTCCGAGGCCGCAGCTTTGGAGGCGTGTCTGTACGTTAGATGGCTTACTTTCG